TATCCAGCTGTGCTGCTGCCATCAACACCTTTGTTCCAGTGTAGTCCTGTTTCTCTGACTGTGACTAACTGGATGTGCTCTCTTCATCCTCTGACATGGGAGCTGGCTCGGAGCTCGTCTGCCTGGCTGTGTGTTTCCTAGACGGGGCCGCCTGTGGAGCTGGTTGACAGTTGCCTTTTGTATTACCATCTTTGACCGAGTGAGGGGGAGTTTTTAACACCCTGTGTTGGTAAATCAAGATTCATTTGTCTACATACTTCAGATTCCATCAAAAATAAAAATCAACACCAATATTAAGTGATGCATATAAAAACAAAAATGGTAAAGTGGTATCAACAATGTATAAAGGATTAATAGTTCATAGGAAAACCTCAAAGCTGTATATTAGGGACAAATGGGTGAGAAACTGCAGGAGGCCATAAGCAATGACATGTGGGACACCCTGTAAATCGCAGGTTAACACTGTTATTTTTAGGAATTCGACACCTGCTGCTAGCCTGTTATTGTAAATAGAAATTAGCCCCTTATTCTTTCATTTCCAACTTTGACTTCCCCCCCTGGCGGTTAGGAAAAATCCACAGAAAAGCTGCACCTTCTTATGAGTCGCATGGTTCAAAGCGTGGGAAAAAAGTAGCGGCTCATATTCCAGAAAATACGGTACAACAAATCATATTGAGTAAAAATCTAGAAGACAATGACCAGTAGAAGTTAAATCAATTTAGTTAGTATTATTCAGTCCTGTACTATCAGAGGTGTCATCTAACAAAGTACAAATACTTTGTTACTTAAGTAGAAATTTTGACTATCTATACTTTACTGGAGTCATTTTTTAAGACAACTTTTTCCTTCTACTCTTTATATTTCTTTTGCAATTATCTCTATTTTCTACTCCTTGGACTAAGTTTAGACTTAGTTTAGTTTGATTTAAGCTAATTTTCGTTATGGCCTGTTGGTATTTAAAAAAAATTAAAAGCCATAAAATAGTTTGTTTTATCTAGACAATTTCTTTGCCAGGAAATTGTTTTTCAACACAAAACAAAATAGTTTTTCAAGATAATTCAATTCTATTCAGTTTATTTCTATAGCTCCAATTCCCATCATGTCATCTCAGGTCACTTTCCAGTTCACCAGATCATCCAGTCAGATTGATTCAAAGTTTTCTATCTAAGGAAAACCAGCTGATTGCATCGACTCATTGACTCTTCAGCAATCCCTCACACTAAGCATGCTTGTAGCGACAGTGGAGAGGAAAAACTCCCTTTTAACAGGAGGAAACCTCCAGCAGAACCAGATAATGTTAATTTTGACACTGTTGCCATTGATAAAATGAAGTCTAAGGAAGTTATCAACCAGAATTGTAGAAAAAATGTTCCTTTAGTAGAGTAGTGCAGTAAAGTTTCTATCCTTAACATTTCTTTCCTGCATTACTTTTACTTTTATACTGGTAATATTAAAAATGGTACCTTTACACTTTTACTGGAGTCAAGATTTTGTTGTTTTTTTACACGTAATGTATTAAAATTTGTAAAATATTTGATCAGAAGGATGAGTGGAGCTTATATTAACTGTTTTTAACAGTTCATTTGAGAATTAACACTATTATTAGGACAGTGACATCATCAGGTTAAAGCTTTCATAAGCAGGAGGCTTATAATTTATTTAAACTGTGCTTAATGTTTAGGTTTCCTTTTTCTGGATAAACGTGTTGAAGTATCAGTGACTCCGCTGTAATGCTCCGTTTCTGTCAGATCTACAGTTACCTTCCTGACGAGTGACAGAAATGTCTGATTTATCTTTAAACAGATTGCAGATCTTGCCAAGAAGAACTGAGGTGATGGTTTTAACGAGCTGAGCCAAAAAGCTGCTAAATTCAGAAAACTGTGTTGGCAGAGGTTCATAATATGGAGACACGATGTCAAAGAGACTCTACTATGAATGCAATGTGTGACATAAGGCTGGTAAACCAGGCGGGGGGGAAGTTTATCCTGCATCTACAGCAGCAGAACGCTTGCATGAGGATCTCAGGGTGTTAAAACTCAGTGGAAACAAGCAACAACCGTCTAAAACCATTAAATATGTTTCTTTCTCTTTGCTGTGTGAGCTAAGGCAGCAGGTTTTATTCAAAGTGTTTTTAATCGGCCCTCGTTGTCACCGGATCCGTCGGCCCTCAGGTGTGAACCCATACCTGTGAACTCCTTCTTGCAGCGATCGCGGACGCTTTCCTCCAGACTCTCCAGCTGATGTTTGACCTTCTCGTACTCCCGCTCCGCCTGTCGGCTCTTCCTCCTGGTGGAAATGAAACTCCGCGCGTGAGCGAACGAAACAAGCGTTTACTAGTGCGGCCACGTTTTCTATAACCGACCTGTAGCAGTAGATTGACAGAGCGATGAAAAGCACCATAGGCAGGATCACAGCAGGGATGATTATGGCCAGAGGAATGTCATCTTTACTGGCGTATTGCACCGAGTCCACAGTCCACTCTGCCTGACCAAACATCACCTGAAATTAAAAAGCTGCCTTAGATGTTTTTATATCTCCATTTAGGTCTAGATTTAAATTAAACTTTCATTGTTCTAATGGGATTTTCCTAAATATTTAAGCAGATGGAAGCATTTTCAGTTAGAGAAGTTAAACTGAAACGGAAAGAAATGAGGAAAACGAAAAAGGAGCAAAAAAAAGAAAAAAGAATTAAGTGAGGAAGGAAGAAATAAAGCGAAAGGAAAACAATGAAGGAAGATATACAGGAAAAGGGAAAAATTAAAAACAATCAGAGGAGGAATGAAGGTAAAGGAAAAACAAAAAAGAGAGAAAAGAAACAAGGATATGAAGGAGCAAAGAAGGAAAACAACACTGCGTCAATACATCTGATCCATGGCGACCTGCGGTTTAAAGGACAGTTAGTTTACCCTGAGGTAGAGTTTGTCGTTGGCTGGGTCCTGCTCTCTGGGTTTGGCACTGGGCTTTGTAGAAGGAGCCTCCAGGATCAATTTATCATCCTGTGCAGACAGGATAAAAACAGAGAACAACAAATCAAATCCAGGTAGACTAGGCACACATTTTTATTGGAAAAGTTTACTTCCAATTTCTAAAACTAGTTTAGAAGCCTGAGCTCGGCTGTGGAATCTGTTCTCCTCTCAGATCAGTGTTATTCCTCATAAAGTTTAAGGTGCAGACGGCGGAAAGAGAAACTCTCCTGAAAATCACGGCTTTTCTCAGAATACAAGGAAATCTAAGCATGAAGGCAATTTATTTTTAGCTATGTTTGAACGTTGTGAATGAAAAGTGAAGGTGCAGAAGATTTCAGTCTTCTGTCAGATAACACCTTTGCAGCCCCGCCGCTCAGAGCCACTGCCTTCACTGATTCCCTTTCATCCGAGGCTGGATTGATTCTCAGAGCAGACATCAAGCCTTCAGTGTGGCCGAGCGCCGCGGCTCTGGAAGCCTGTGATTCTGCAGCGTGACAGCGTCGCCCTCCAGAGCCGTTTTTTGAAAGGGAATCAGATGAAGCGGCGCCGTGGCAGCTTTCTACACCAATGAGCCGACTGTCTCGCGTCCTGTTCTTTGATATCAGGAGTTAATCCGTCAGAGGCATTAAAAGCCGTCGCATACCTGCAGTATGTTGATGTTACAGAAGGCGTCCCCAACGGTTGCCTGGACCTCTTCCACCGTTATGGCCTTGGAGAAACCTCGCCCCTGATCAGAGGCCGAGAGAGAGAGAGGTGAAAACGAGCAGGAGATGCAGGCTGAGGGTTCGGGTGTCGCTTCTTACCGTCACGATGATGACGATGTTCTCTGTGATGGTGTTCTTGGCCAGCTTGTCGAAGGTGGGGTCTTGGTGGTAGTTAAAGCCTTTCAGCTCCTCCTCCATGTTGTCCAGCTGTATGAAGGTCCTGAGCGACTGGACGTCGTCGCAGACGTTCACCTTCGGGGAGTCAAACTCCAGCACCGTGTCGTTCTTACTCAGATGCTTTGACAGCTGAGGAACACATGAAGAATCTGCTTAAAACCAAGAAAAAGCTAAACCAACTTTTATTCCGTCTCCTCCTCTCATATGCGGCCCCCCCACCGAGTCTCCTCCTCAGACAGAAAGTTATGATGAAGCGCCTTCACCTCCCTCCCCCCCGCAGCGTGTCCTTCCTGAGAGACTGCGTCAGTCAGAGGAACAGAAACCCGTTTCTGGCTTTCTACTCTGAAAAAAAATGCTCCTGCAGATTCATGATCATCATGCTGACATTTTTCAGCTATTAGGGAAGCTGAAACGTTTGCTTTAAAAGGTTCGTCTCCCACTGATGAATGATTGGAACTGGTTTAAAGACGACAAGTCCCCAAAATCAAACTATATGATAAAATAAAAATGGATTCCTGTTCATAGAATGAAGCATTTTCACCACATCATGACCATCAGAGCTCATAATAAGTCTCCTACCCCTAGAGATGTGTCGACTGAAGAGTCATCGGAGGAGGGTTGAACTTTCAAGGTGGCCAACTGGATCAGATCAAACCTGCTTCCCATCACAACAATCCTCCGACCGCCGCTACGAAAAAAACCACAGAGGAGGAACGGCACATTAGAAATCAAAATAACAGAGCGGAGAAATAAGTCCGAGAGCCACACAATCAAGACGGCAGTATGGATAGTTCCAGAAGCTCAGAGAGAAGAAGATTTAAAAATTAAGAACCAGAGGAAAGATAAAACAACCAGCAGAGTATCGCCCTGTCTGAGGTCACAGGAAGGAAGGAAGGAAGGATGGAAAGAAGGAAGGAAGTTAAGACAGGAAGGAAGGAAGTTAAGACAGGAAGGAAGGAAGGAAGGATGGAAAGAAGGAAGGAAGTTAAGACAGGAAGGAAGGAAGGAAGGAAGGAAGCAAGGATGGAAAGAAGGAAGGAAGTTAAGACAGGAAGGAAGGAAGTTAAGACAGGAAGGAAGGAAGGAAGGATGGAAAGAAGGAAGGAAGTTAAGACAGGAAGGAAGGAAGGAAGGAAGCAAGGATGGAAAGAAGGAAGGAAGTTAAGACAGGAAGGAAGGAAGTTAAGACAGGAAGGAAGGAAGGAAGGAAGGAAGGAAGGAAGGATGGAAAGAAGGAAGGAAGTTAAGACAGGAAGGAAGGAAGTTAAGACAGGAAGGAAGGAAGTTAAGACAGGAAGGAAGGAAGGAAGGAAGGAAGGAAGCAAGGATGGAAAGAAGGAAGGAAGTTAAGACAGGAAGGAAGGGAGGATGGAAGGAAGGAAGTTAAGACAGGAAGGAAGGAAGGAAGGAAGGATGGAAAGAAGGAAGGAAGTTAAGACAGGAAGGAAGGAAGTTAAGACAGGAAGGAAGGAAGGAAGGATGGAAAGAAGGAAGGAAGGAAGGAAGCAAGGATGGAAAGAAGGAAGGAAGTTAAGACAGGAAGGAAGGGAGGATGGAAGGAAGGAAGTTAAGACAGGAAGGAAGGAAGGAAGGATGGAAAGAGGAAGGAAGTTAAGACAGGAAGGAAGGAAGTTAAGACAGGAAGGAAGGAAGGAAGCAAGGATGGAAAGAAGGAAGGAAGTTAAGACAGGAAGGAAGGGAGGATGGAAGGAAGGAAGGATGGAAAGAAGGAAGGAAGTTAAGACAGGAAGGAAGGGAGGAAGTTTAGACAGGAAGGAAGGAAGGAAGGAAGTTAAGACAGGAATGAAGGAAGGAAGTTAAGACAGGAAAGAAGGAAGGAGAGAAGGATGAAGGAAGGAAGTTAAGACAAGAAGGAATGAAGTTAAGACAGGAAGGAATGAAGGAAGGAAGGAAGGAAGTTAAGACAGGAAGGAAGGGAGGATGGAAGGAAGGAAGGAAGTTAAGACAGGAAGGAAGGAAGTTAAGACAGGAAGGAAGGGAGGATGGAAGGAAGGAAGGAAGGAAGTTAAGACAGGAAGGAAGGAAGGAAGGAAGAAAGGAAGGAAGTTAAGACAGGAAGGAAGGAAGGAAGGAAGTTAAGACAGGAAAGAAGGAAGGAGAGAAGGATGAAGGAAGGAAGTTAAGACAGGAAGGAAGGAAGGAACGAAGGAAGGAAGTTAAGACAGGAAGGAAGGAAGTTAAGACAGGAAGAAAGGAAGGAAGGAAGTTAAGACAGGAAAGAAGGAAGGAGAGATGGATGAAGGAAGGAAGTTAAGACAGGAAGGAAGGAAGGAAGGAAGTTAAGATAGGAAGGAAGGACGGAAAGAAGGAATGATGAAGGAAGGAAGTTAAGACAGGAAGGAAGGAAGTTAAGACAGGAAGGAAGGAAGTTAAGACAGGAAGGAAGGAAGGAAGGATGGAAAGAAGGAAGGAAGTTAAGACAGGAAGGAAGGAAGGAAGCAAGGATGGAAAGAAGGAAGGAGGTTCAGACAGGAAGGAAGGGAGGATGGAAGGAAGGAAGTTAAGACAGGAAGGAAGGAAGGAAGGAAGGATGGAAAGAAGGAAGGAAGTTAAGACAGGAAGGAAGGAAGGAAGGAAGGATGGAAAGAAGGAAGGAAAGTTAAGACAGGAAGGAAGGAAGGAAGGATGGAAAGAAGGAAGGAAGTTAAGACAGGAAGGAAGGGAGGATGGAAGGAAGGAAGGAAGTTACGACAGGAAGGAAGGAAGGAAGGAAGGAAGTTAAGACAGGAAAGAAGGAAGGAGAGAAGGATGAAGGAAGGAAGTTAAGACAAGAAGGAATGAAGTTAAGACAGGAAGGAATGAATGAAGGAAGGAAGGAAGTTAAGACAGGAAGGAAGGGAGGATGGAAGGAAGGAAGGAAGTTAAGACAGGAAGGAAGGAAGTTAAGACAGGAAGGAAGGGAGGATGGAAGGAAGGAAGTTAAGACAGGAAGGAAGGAAGGAAGGAAGGATGAAGGAAGGAAGTTAAGACAGGAAGGAAGGAAGGAAGGAAGGAAGGAAGGAAGGATGGAAAGAAGGAAGGAAGTTAAGACAGGAAGAAGGAAGGAAGGAACGAAGGAAGGAAGGAAGTTAAGACAGGAAGGAAGGAAGGAAGGAAGTTAAGACAGGAAAGAAGGAAGGAGAGAAGGATGAAGGAAGGAAGTTAAGACAGGAAGGAAGGAAGGAAGTTAAGATAGGAAGGAAGGACGGAAAGAAGGAAGGATGAAGGAAGGAAGTTAAGACAGGAAGGAAGGAAGTTAAGACAATAAGGAAGGAAGGAAGGAAGGACGGAAATTAAGACAGGAATGAAGAAAGGAAAAAAGGAAGGAGAGAAGGATGAAGGAAGGAAGTAAAGACAGGAAGGAAGGAAGGAAGTTAAGACAGGAAGGAAGGAAAGAAGGAAGGAAAGAAGGATGAAGGAAGGAAGTTAAGACAGGAAGGAAGCAACGAAGGAAGGAAGGAAGGAAGGATGGATGAAAGGAAAAGAGGTTAATACAGGAAGGTACGAAGGAAGAAAGGAAGGAAGGATGGAAGGAGGTTCAAGACAGGAAGGAAGGAAGGAAGGATGGATGAAAGGAAGGAGGTTAAGACAGGAAGGAACGAAGGAAGAAAGGAAGGAAGGATGGAAGGAGGTTAAGACAGGAAGGAAGGAAGGAAGGAAGGAAGGATGGCACCTAATAAAGGATAAAAGAAGAAAGTAAGAGGAATCCATAAATAAAGGCGATAAAAGGGAAGTTGGGAGTAAGTAAAACAGAAAACGAAAAGTGATGAAAGTAATCAGCTGTTTGCATCCTGTAGAGGAACTAGAGGAACTAGAGGAACTAGAGGAACTAGAGGTCACTGGATCAGAACCCACTCAGTCCGAATGTCCAAACCAGTATCTTCAGGCTGTCAGTGGGAACCCAGTAACAATCTGAAGCTGAATCTAAACTGGGATCATATCTCCTGTTTCTAGCTCCTCTCCTTTCACAACGTTCATCCCTGATTAAAAGGGTTTAAACAAAGACTTTATTTCACAACTGTTGGACATTTAAAAGACACCAAAGGAAAGAAGGAAAATTACAAAGTAATCAAGGAAGGAAAGATCACAGATAGAAATCAATCAAACTTTATTTATGATTCACCTTTAAATTATGTCTGTTTTGACCAAAGTGCTCAACAAGATTAACTCAGGAGACAATAAAACGAACCGTAAAAAGCTAGAAATGCAAACGCGTCATGAGAAAGTATAAAAATACCAACACTAAAAAACCTTTTTAAATAAACTGGGTTGAGTTTAGCTTTAAAGAGGCAGTAAAGAAAAATAGAGGCAGAAATAAAAAATTAAAAGGGAAGAATTGACAGATGAATACAATATTTCTGATTCAACTTAAAGTCTGTAAATACTCTTATTTTTCATACTATATTAATACTTTAACGAACATATTCTGCCTCTGATTCACTGCAAAGCTTCCCATAAAACAAACACACTCACCTACAGAAGCTGGCTTTGGGGTGGAAGTCAGAGATCTTGGGGTTTTCTAAGTACTGGAAAGCAGAATAGATTTCCTTGGTGGTGTTTTTCCCGTACTTCACCTTAACCGTCAGCAGATTTGAGGGAACCTTCTGGCCATTATAGCGGCCGGTCTTACAGGAGATGGTTTCCCCAAATGATAAACTGGAGAAAAGAGGGCGGTGAGGACTGGGATGTACTGGTTTATAGAAGTCAGACCGGAAAGAAATTATACTGCTTACATTTCACAGGCAACGTCACCGACGGAGACGGTAACGTCGTCTTTAGTAGCCGTTTCCAAGGCGTCTCCTTTGATGGTTATCTCTGTTCCTCCGGCTGCAGGACCCTTCGACGGATGGACGGTTTTCGGTTTGGGATCCTGAACGAAAACATTAAAAAAACAGCTGGTTAACAAGACTTTATGGATACATCCTTTATGTCAAGTCTTCCAGCAAAGCAGCACCAGATGATCACACTGCCAACTCTGTGTTTGTACTTCTGTCTCAGTTTGCCGAGAATAATCTTACTATAGTCATGACAATAATCTGCTGCGACGCCTGGGATAAGGAGTCGGATTAATTCTGGTCAAAATGTCCATACAGGAAGCTTCTCCAATGTTTGTAGATAGATAACGCCTCCAACTGGAGTCCACAAGTCTTAGATGTAGTTTTAAAACTCGATTTTAGACACTGGTTCTGATCTGTGTTGGTTTTTGAGATCACCTACCCCAGCGGTGGGCAACTCCAGTCCTTAAAGGAATAGTACACCCAAAACATGATTAGCCTTCGTTTTCTACTCACCCCCATGCTGAACAACACCCTGGAGTACTTTTTTGATATCTCAAATGCATCTGGAGATCTGGGAGGCTTCTTGCTGTCTGCTGACATTCAAATAATGGAGGTCTATGGCGCCCGAGGCAGAAAGGTCCATAAAAGTCCACAAAAAACGTGTCAATATTCCTCCATACTGCTCGTCCAATGTATTCCAAGTGTCCTGAGTGGGTAGCGTCCATAATTTACTCGAAACGAAGTCATTTAGAATGTTTTTAGAGCATAAACAGTAGTGTATAGGATTTCCTCAAAGCGCGTTCACGAGTCTACGGAAACCGAGGCAGACCAAACCAGATGAAAGTGCGCATTCAGCTCGGCAAAGAACTCATGCTCTTCCTCAACACTGAAGTCCTCAGACATTTTTCTTTCGTTGTTTCTTTCTTTGCACAGGTAAACAGCACATTTCTTGTTCTACGCTTGCATTATTGGCAGAGCAGACGCTGAATGCGCACTTTCATCTGGTTTGGTCTGCCGCGGTTTCCGTAGCGTCGTGAACGCGCTTTTAGGAAATCCTATACACTACTGTTTATGCTCCAAAACATTCTAAATGACTTCGTTTCGAGTAAATTCTGGATACTACCCACTCAGGACACTTGGAATACATTGGACGAGCAGTATGGAGGAATATTGACACGTTTTTGTGGACTTTTATGGACCTTTCTGCCTTGGGCGCCATAGACCTACATTATTTGAATGTCAGCAGACAGCAAGAAGCCTCCCAGATCTCCAGATGCATTTGAGATATCAAAAAAGTACTCCAGAGAGTTGTTCAGCATGGGGGTGAGTAGAAAATGACGGCTAATCATGTTTTGGGTGTACTATTCCTTTAAGGGCTGGTTTCCTGCAACATTTAGATTCATCCTTGGTCAAAAACACCTGAATCAAATGAATTACCTCTCCGGTATGCAGCCATTTTTTCCAGGACTGGAGTTGCCCACCGCTGACCTAGCCTACTTCATGTTGCCAAACAAGTTGCTTAGAAACCTTTAACCTTTGAATTTCAGATAAAATGCAACAATGCCAAAAGAGATTGATAAGGCTAAAACTGATTGCAGTACTGAATGTAAAAATCTGATTTAAGACCGATGGAGGGAAATCTGGACATATTCTGCTCCTTTAAAGGTCTGAATTTGTTCTTGTACCGTTACAGGAAGTTAATAAAAGATAAGGAGCGCACTACCAGTGAAAAACCAAAAAATACTTTTTCTCTGCTTGTTTTGACTCTTACAAAAGTAGGGGGGGGGTCCTTCTTCTTCAAAACATGAAGGATCAGTGAATGCAGAGTGCAGGAGTCCAGGTGTGCGCTCTTACAATCCGCCCTGCACACGTCTGAGGCTGTTCTCAAACATTTGCCTTGTTTGTGTTTCAGATTTGTTGTCACTGTTATCAGAAACAGAGCAGGAAGCTCAAAAATAAACATCCTCAAACGGAGAGAAACTCTGAACAACTTCTCCGTGGTTAGAAGTTGTGCAAAGACAGAACAGCAGCGCAGGAGGAGGCGGTAGCTGGAATATCTCAGAGTCAGGATCTGACAAGAAACAAACAGATCAGATCCAGATGGCAGCTGAAACAGATGGGCCCAGTTCAACATTTCAGAAACTAAAACAGCGATCAGCTGAACTTTTAGGGGCATTTTAAAGGAAAATTCTGGTCGCATTCAGAATTCAAACTTCTGAAAGTTCTTTAAATCTGAAATGATTCCATCCTGTTCAATAAATGATCAGTGTTTTTAATTCAGAGTAATTTCCATGTGAATGTGCTTTACTGGAGGCATCCATGTTTGTCAAAGAACACTACTGCCACCTACTGGTTAGTGACGTCATGGTGCGGTATCGGCTGTTGATCAAGTCCCAGTGCTGTATCTGGTGTTTGTCACAACGCGCTATTATCCAAGTCATCTTGAAAACATTCTTCTTCCAAATGTTGGCTACATATTACGGGTTTTTTCTCTGGCCAGAAGTTCGATGGCAAATCCTCCCTCTTCAAGTTGGCGATCCAACGACCAACCCGTCCATGGAGGATCAGGAATCAGAAAGGTATTAACATTACGACGGCGTGCTAGGGCCATGCAAAACTTTTTTTTCCGAGAATAAAGTCGTAATAGTTCAAGAATGAAGTCATCAAACCAAAACCCGATTTAGAAAGAAAGCTTGGAGCTCCGCCCAGCAGATGACGGCCGACCAGCTCCACCAATCAGCAACCAGAGTCCACTTTGACATCCTGCCCAGTTTGATGCTGCTGGTAAAGGATTTCCCGATTGGTCAAACCAATGCTAAAGTATAACTTCACATGATGCTCCACATTCCTCATTTTAGGGAAGAAAGGGCTTCTGGGAAGAGCTGTCATTAAATACAACTTGATTCTCCTAATATTACGACTTTATCCTCGTAATGTTAAGATTTTATTCCCATAATATTACGACTTTATCCTCGTAATATTACGACTTTATTCTCCTAATATTACGACTTTATCCTCGTAATATTACGACTTTATTCTCCTAATATTACGACTTTATACTCCTAATGTTACGACTTTATCCTCGTAATATTAAGATTTTGTTCCCATAATATTACGACTTTATCCTCGTAATATTACGACTTTATTCTCCTAATATTACGACTTTATACTCCTAATGTTACGACTTTATCCTCGTAATATTAAGATTTTGTTCCCATAATATTACGACTTTATCCTCCTAATATTACGACTTTATCCTCCTAATATTACGACTTTATTCTCCTAATGTTACGACTTTATTCTCCAAATGTTACGACTTTATTCTCCTAATGTTACGACTCTATCCTCGTAATGTTAAGATTTTGTTCCCATAATATTACGACTTTATCCTCGTAATATTACGACTTTATTCTCCTAATATTGCGACTTTATCCTCGTAATATTACGACTTTATCCTCTTAATATTACGACTTTATCCTCATAAAATTAAGATTTTGTTTCCATAATATTACGACCTTATTCTCCTAATATTACGACTTTATTCTCCTAATGTTACGACTTTATTCTCCTAATATTACGACTTTATCCTCGTAAATTTAAGATTTCGTTCCCATAATATTACGACTTTATCCTCGTAATATTACAACTTTATTCTCCTAATATTACGACTTTATCCTCGTAATATTACGACTTTATCCTCGTAAAATTAAGATTTTGTTCCCATAATATTACGACTTTATCCTCCTAATATTACAACTTTATTCTCCTAATATTACGACTTTATCCTAGTAATATTACAACTTTATCCTCGTAATATTACGACTTTATCCTCTTAATATTACGACTTTATCCTCTTAATATTACGACTTTATCCTCGTAAAATTAAGATTTTGTTCCCATAATATTACGACTTTATCCTCCTAATATTACAACTTTATTCTCCTAATATTACGACTTTATCCTAGTAATATTACGACTTTATTCTCTTAATATTACGACTTTATCCTCATAATATTATTACTTTATTCTTGTAATTTCATGACTTTATTCTCATAATGTTACCATTTTATTGTCTTAATAAAAAAATTTAATAAATCTCTAGCCTGGCCCTAATACTCAGTCGTACAACATCCAGCTGCCATGCACGTGGGCATTGTCAGTTTCACTATAGCTCTGGTGAATTTCAATGGTGAAGTCCTCTGGAAATCTTCAATAATTGTTGTTGATTGCAGATGTGTCTAGTAGTTCCCATTGAATTAGCTTGGAAAGCGGGGAGAATGGCGCTAGGCTTACCGCACCGTGACGTCACTGCTGGAAGATGGCAGGAGGGAGGGGCTACTATGTTTGGGCAAAGATGGCCGCTCCCAGACTCAGTGATCACGCGAAAAACTATAGTTTTTTTTTTTTTTTTCATTAAATCACCATGAACATATTAGCTTTAGGTCTAAATAATGATCCATTGATTATTTCTTGCTGACCGGACTTTTTCTTTAAGATCCCCGTTTCCATCCAACTACTAAAGACCCTCTGTAACTTCAGTGAACTTTTTAGTTTGAAATCTATTTTTCTTAGCAACTCTTCAAAAGAAAAAAAGAAAAGAAAAAGAACCAAAAAGAAGAGGGTTGGTATCATCTGCAGACCTGCAAGTGTCTTAAGACTGAGCTTCGAGCAGCAAAGCAAAGTCTATCAGAAAACAAACCATGGAGATGTGGAGAAGCATGGAGGAGGTTTGCTCATGCTGCGGGCCGAAGCTTTTTTACATAACATACCAAAACACTTAAGGTAGAAATCTGATGGCCTTTGTTGGGAAAACTGAGAATGGGTCATTATTCAACAAATTCAGTTAAATCAGTATTAAAATAAAACACAGATTGACCATCAGAAGAGAAAGGTTACAGGTTCCTTTCTTTATGCTCCAACACTCATATTTACAACAGAAAACAGCAGTGAGTAAATAAAGGATGAAGCGAATTGAATTATTATATTAAATGAAACAAATATTCCATAATGAGGAACTCTTTCGTCTCTGTGTTTAAAATAAAGATGGATTTTTAGGTCAGGATGATGCTGCTGTAAAAATATACTGATTTAACAGCATTATTTCCTTTCTTTGGGTACGGATCTGTTTTGATGTTAGAATGATTCAGCAAACCAACATTTCAATCCCTGAAAGGAGGGTTTGCAGGCAGACTAACTGCTTGCGGAGCTAGTTAGTCATTTTGGTCACAGCAGTTTCCTGAAATTACTTTTTGTCTCCTTGAAACAAACAAAAGAAGAAACAGAGAAGTGAACAGCAATATTTACATGAACTGCCTGAACCGAAATTCAAGCAACAAAAAACAGCAGGTGAAATTTACTTTGATCATGTTTGTTTGCTCGTTTGTGGAAAATGGAGAGGAAAGAATTAAAAATCAATTTAAACGGTGAATTTGCATGTGAGGGGTTTAGTTACGCTTCATTTCTTCTACAGGGAGCAGATGCCCGAGCGGTGCTGGGAGAGAATTTTACTTTATCACAAAACCTTTTTCATGTTCCTGGGGTTTTATCCATGGTGTCTCTAGTATTTCTGACATACAGCCCTCTTTAGCTGCCTCTGAAATGTGGATGGAGTGGGCCTGCAGAACGGTTTTTAAAAAGCTTCCTGTAGTTCAGCACAAACAGCGAGCTGACAACACCAGCACACGGCGAGGCTTCTCATGGCATTTGAGAGCGACAGCAATTTCTTTCCAGGAGTTTTTCTACAATCTGTTGATATCGGTGATATACATGTGCAGGAGCTGCTGCTTGCTCGCCAGGTTTTCTGTATGGGACTGTCTGTCCGCTTACTTACAGTGTGGAAAATCTGTCTGCATGGAGGAGCATGGAAGCCCAAAATGACGGGAGATAAACCAAGCTTAAGTCAGACTTTAATCACCTGAAGAACATCTCCAGGATTAAAGGACTAACGTCCAGTAGGATCTAGAAAAGCTCCTTCATGTATTTATCTTTAGTAGAATCGATCACTGCAACAGTGTCTTTATAGGTTTGCCTATAAAGTCCATCAGAAAGCTGCAGCTGATCCAAAACGCTGCTGCCCATGTTCTCACTAGAGCTAAGAAAGTAGAGCACAGCAGCCCGGTTCTGAAGTCCTTACACATGTAAAGCCCTTTCAACTGTCTTTTTACTGAATTGTGAAATGCGTGAATGGTGGTCTATCCTTTTTGTCTCTGTTTTTCAAAGCTCTTTAATGGTTTTATTTATTCAGGAAAGAAATAGAAAAAAAATCCAAAATAGTTTTTAGCAAGGTATAAAAAAAACATCCTGAAACTCTCTAGCGTGCCAAAACTGATTTACTAACCGGGCACAAATAAAATTGCGAGTCTAAAATTAGGAAATTAACAGGCGCAACGTTTTAGCATCGTTGCTTTCATAAATATGCAGAACGTGCTGATGAGCAAAACATGTAAAATAACGGGAGGAGGACCAGTTTTTGTCATCTTTGTTTAGTCAGGTACAAACTTCGTGCCCCACAGTTTCTACGGTCAGTGTGGTGAGAAGGTGCAACAACTGATGATGCTAAAGCGAGTCTGTGCAAAGGTAAACACATTTGGACTGTTAGAAATAAGGGTATTGAAATTATTTTAATGGAAAAAAATATGTCTGAGTAGGAATGATTAATGCAGCTGGAAGCAAACAATCTAGAATTGAAAGCAAACAGCATGAGTGAATGTAAATATCGTGGCATGTTTATAAAAAACAACAACAAATAAATAAATAAATATTAGAAGCCATTAGAGAACAAGAAACCACTTAGGAGCCTGTAATGAGAAATTAAAGAATCCGAAAAACAAATACAACAGAACAGTCTCTATTCTATCAGTCCAGCTTTTATGGTACATTCAACATATTATTCTCATTTAATTCCTGTTGAAATAACTACCTTTAAATCCGCAGCCTTTAACTTTCTCTTTCTTTTACAGCTTCCCTCATTATGACAGAGTGTGCATCGGCTGATCTTGCTAACTCTACACACAATCTCTGTAAATCACTCACATCATGTTCACTAACTGAACAAAACAATCTTTTTTGCACAATTCATTTAGCAAACCTTATTGAATCATTCCATGGGTCTGTTGTTTGCTGACACCGACCGGGACGATTATAACACTGTGCTGAATTCATTTAATCTTTGTTTTAAAGCATTAATGTAACCTTGTTTTACAGCGACTGCTCTTTGATTCAGTGACTTGATGTTGGAGCTGCTCCCATCATAAAAACAGAAGAGCAAGGATCGAAAACAATATACCTAAAATCAGCAAAAAACACACACACATGAAAAAAAAGTAAACTGAGTTCAAAAGATCGGATGAGTGGCAGAAAAAAAAAAAAAGAGGCATTGTTTCTACGTTAAATTCAAAGCCTTTGGTTTTAACATCAATTACTCAACAATCCTTTATGAAACTTTCTAACGATTTCTTTGGATCAAATTCAATCACATTTGGAGTAATTCCTAAATTCAGATTTTTTCCAATTTGGATTTTAGGCGTAGTTGTGTGTCTAAACACGTCGAAGCGTTTTCAGTTCGGTTCCAGACCAGGGTTCCTACTGCATAAGGAAAGTTAAATTCAAGACTTTTTAATGCCACTTGAAATGAAAATTTAAGACCAAATTCACAAGAAACACAAGAAAAACCTGCTCGCAACAACTTAACCCAAAGGTTTATTTTAACATAAACCACTGCACTAATGTTTCAAATGTTGAAAAGCTTCCCATACAGGAAGAAAGCTAAAAACACACAAATGACAGATATATTTGAACAATTATTTAACTGAATTCACAAACTTTGTTTTAGCAGGGAACAAAACAAATCAGTTTTAAAGCCCCAACATAACCAGTGCTAAGTCTTTTTAGCAGCTATCTTTCTTTGTATGGTTTTCTTAGAATGTTTGATTTGGTGATAAGTGGAGGCGTTGCAGAGACAAGGGTGGAACTAAACTGAGAAATACCGGCTGTTTCTCTGTAACTCCATTTTGACGCTTTGTGTTTCGTGCTTCGCATGTGCGACTCCACTGCCTTAATTCCCATCGTTCTGAGCTTGAATGACTTCTAGCACTAAATCCACTGAGCCTCATGGATGTTCCCTGGTTTTAGCCATGGAGGAAACTCTTGGCTGGAGACAATTTAGGTTACATTTACACTTGATCTTATTTTCCAGACAAAAAGTTAATGGCGCGTCTCCCAAATGTCCCGGCCGCAACAGCGCTTTATTGGTTCCGCTATCGGGACGGAACCAATAATGGCGAGACGCTATTTTTTTTTTTCTAAAAAGAAAAAAAAATAATAGTCAATTTTAACGTTTTATTTAGATTACAAAAATAAATCGTAGTAAAAATAATCCTATTTAGGATGTTTTAAAAATTAAGGCCAAGGAAAGACTGATTTAAGACATTTTAATACCAATTAAGGCCCTAGTTTTATTTTGAAGAATTCAATGCCTTTTAAGGCTTTTTCAGGACCTGCGGGAAGCCTGCAGACTCACCCGATAAGTGAAGTTGATCTTAGAGGTTCCTCGTCTGTCTCCCTCCACCTCTATCTCCACCGGTCCGCTCTCTGTCTGTTCCAGCGGGATGTCGTGAGGCGGTATTCGCTTCGGACCGATCTCACACACCACACTGTCGACAGAAAGAGGAAATCATTCATAAGTTCAACAATACTTCATACAAAGAGGTAAGAGGCAGTAATGTGTAGCTCAGAGTTAATGGATGGGAGGAGTTTCACCATTAATGTCCCTGTGGTCGTTACCTGGTGGAGACAGAGTATCTCTCCTCCATGTGAACACAGTTCACTCCTGCCACAGTGATCCTTCTCACGTCCTCGTTCTTTATTCCCATGTTGGAGCCTTTGATGGTCACTGAGATCTGACCATTGATGGGTCCGAAGCGAGGAATGATCTGCAGGAGGAATAACCATCAGAAAACTCTCCAGTTTAACAATTCAATATGATTAGTTATCAACCATGTAATGTTTTGTTTCCCTACTATATAATAATAAAAGTATTTTGTGAGCTTTAAGCGAGGCGAGACTTTATTTTCAGTAATAACGTGTTGAGTTTGTGACAAAAGCGGCAAACCTGAACTCACTAATGCATTTATATACTGTATGCATCTAGTTGAATGAATGATCATCTATTTTTTTGAGGAGGTTAAGGGTGAAGAGGCAGAGTCCTGCTGGACTAAAGCAGCCAATCAAAAATTATGATAACTTCCTACATAATATTTTAACCTTTTCTCTAAATCATCTTCACAGTTTCCTCTAATGTTTTTTCTCAGTAAATATCTCATTTTCAATGATGAATTTTCTTTGGAGATAATCTGACCAATTTAGATTTTAACAACAACAAGATTTTAACAATCCACTGGACTTTGTTTCCAAGTTTGAAGAAGTTTCTCTTCCATCCAGGAAGTTTTTTCAATTCAAAATGTCAGAAATACTGTTGAGTTCAATGCTTTATTAAGTAGACTAAAGCAAAGCCTTGTTTTGGGTTAGAAAACATGCAACCTGAACCTGCTAGCAGGTCCACCCCTTAGGAATGGGTGTCGGTTTGTTTCTTTGTTTAATTTGCATGTTTCTAACCCAAAACAAGTAACAAAATAAGCTTTCGGGATGGGAAGCGAAACGTCTTCAAACTTGGAAACAAAGTCCAGTGGATTGTTTTTTTTTTTTTTGGAATCACTATGATCTGGATGACTGAGAATCTTTACCAGCAAGCAGATTTTTTATTTTGGATCTAGTGTAAATCAATGCGTATCCTTTTTTAAATTAATCTTGTAATAAAATCCTGATAGCTAACTGTTGGCCGACTTCAAAGGTTAGAAAAAAGGTGAAAATTATTGAATTCTCAAATTAAAGTAAAAAAAAAAAAAAAAAAGCTGAGAAAGGAAATGAACAGTATTATCTACGGAGCCCCCTAGGGGACATGGGGATTTTTTTTTTCTTTTGCATTCCCTCGCAAAATTTTGCGTTACCTCGCAAAACCTTTTACGTGAGAACGCAAAACCTTACTTCGGTTAAGTTAGAAAGATATTCACAGATTTGGACTTCCGGGATCAATGACTCTCGTTGTTGAAACAAAAAATGGCGCCTCTTTCATGTCCTGATAGAACAGACTACGTATTACAAGAATCAAAAAGCGTTATTTTCTAGAAAAACGAGCTGGATGTATTACATTGATCTCTATGCACAGGCAGCGGCCCGGCGAGTGGTTAGGGACCGTCTGCAAATGGTAAAACAACAGCAAAACGTTGCAAATAAAAATCCATAACTCCACTGCCATAAAGTGCAGAGACTCCAAAATCACCACACACACCAAGGGGCTCTTGGTGATCGCACTGCAACAGCTGGTTTGGAAAAATACACCTTTTTTTTTTTGTTGTTGTTATTATTAAGCATTAATATCATCCTATTTTAATCAATAGCTCTGTGATTATACAGTGCAGACACTCAAAAATCCTCAAATAGACAGAGAGACTCCTGATGATCATACTACAACAGTTGTTTTTAAGAAAGACACCTTTACTTATTTTTTGAAGTTTTTTATTGTCATTAAACATTAATATCATCCTGTTTTGATCAATAGCTCTGTGTTTATACAGTGCAGACACGCACACCAAGGGGCTCTTGGTGATCGCACTACAACAGGATGATGATGGGAACGCAAAAGAAAAGAAATTCCCCATGTCCCCTAGGGGGCGCCGTAATTATCCTTTGAGGATCTTTTAAAACGACCAATAAAAAAAATATACCTGAAGCTACAGAGTTAGGGTCTAAATCCAGAACCAAACTGACCAATAGGAGCAGAGCAAACCCGACCATCCAACATCTATATTCACTGCTCTGTATTCCAGTTTTTTTTTATTTTTTTGTCAGTTTGTGATCCCGTGTGAGATGTGTGTGAAATCATTCTCGCCTTTAGTCATGCATATTTGTTATTTCCCTGTAACTCCACCTCATTACTGGAGCTCCTGGTTTTTCTCTGGTTATAGGATTCCCCAGAAACGCTTATATTTGCTCTCTTTTCTCCATGCGGTACATTTCTGATGAAATGTTGCTATTTATATCCACAGAGGACTAAGAAAAACAAACCGCATCACCGGCTGTATTAATAGGCGCCATTTGGAGAAATCTCTTGCGGCTGACACCATGTCAGATCTACAACCCAGATTAGTTTGAAATGAGTTAAAGAAAAACTCTGTAATCTAATATCTAAGATATAATCCCAGGATTTTAGACTATACTGATGATTAAAATGAGGGCCGATGACGCTCATGTTTGACAGATTATATCTAAAGGAATAGTTTGTTTATCAGTTGTGATTATGTGGAGCAGTTAGGAGCAGGCAGTATCTTACGTCGGTGTTCTCTGTTTATAAGATCCTAGGATTGATGGATTACATTTAACCCGAACAAAAAGCAAAGTTTTTTCCAGAAACTTTTGTTGAAATTTGCATTTTTTCCATTCTCTAGCTTTTTCTCCGCCTCAAGCTTCTTTTCTGAGCATACGGCCTTAAGATCAACCGGTAGCAGTTCCGCACAAACATGCAAAACCACTTATATCTGATGAAATTGCTTTTATAACTGTATTTCTTTTTAAATAAAGCACTTTAAATACAACGATAATCACATTTAGTGAATTTTAATGCCAATTAAGGCCTTAATTAAAAAATTTTTTAATTTAATGACTATTAATGAACCGCGTAAACCCTGATTAAACATGCCAAACAATCCTTGATATCCTACCTTCCAGGGACCTAGGAGTTACCTTCTAGAACTTTCTGAGCACTTATATGATGGATCAGGTAAATTTACAGTTAATCCCTAAGGTTTAATATTACTTTGTAGATTTAAAAAAGCTTAATGGTGAGTTTTCTTGAAATTCTCCCAGACTTCCTTGTAACTTACAAACATTTTGACAGAGACTGACCTTGAAAGTAACATTTCAGAGGGTTACCTGTAACCTGGACTCGGATCACACGAGGATTTCATCATCGCTCATTAGTAGTTTATACATTTAGGCTTTAAATAGAACAATAAAGTCATTATATGGCCATCACAATCTCCCATGCCTGCTCTTTATCTGGTCGCCTTAACTTTTAGTAATACCTTTTTCTTCCTGATGTTATATTTATAAAGCAAAGGAGTCGTGTAAAGTAAAATTGTGTTTTTTCACTCCTAAAAATGAACATTTCTTGGTCCATGAAATGAGGTTTAACCTGTGCTGAGGCCGCAGGAAATGTTTTGATGTGCACATGTAGCGTTTAATTTGGAAACTCCACCGGATCCGCTTTGCTTTTTAGAAACTGACTTCCGGTTTGAATGATCTACTGTGCTTTAGACTGATGAGCCGTGGATTGTAGGGGAACGTTCAGTGGACCACGCTACTGGTACGCTTCATTCAACGCCGGGTGGAACCACTACGATTGACTCGAGCGTCTATGATCAACTGAGGTAGCAGTGCGTGGACGCCTCATGGACGATCCGCAGCATTAACGCGGCATTGCAGTAAATCCTCCTGTTTCGTTGGATCTATTATGGTTAAGCAAGCTCAAATATTTTATTTTTGAGGGTTTTTTTTGTAATTTATTTATTTATTGATCGGAATTTTTTTATGATGGTTAATAATTTATTTAATAAGTTAAAGTCCAGAAAAGGCCTTTTAACCAAAGTAAAACAGTCTTTTCCTTCTAAACTCGCCTGGATCCAATTTGCTCCTCATCAACTGTCTTGTCTGAACAATTTTATAGAAAGAGGGGGGGGCGCATCTAGGAGGCTACAGAAATGCCTCGCTGCGCATCAGAGCTGCTGCCATTAGCTGCAAAGCCGCAGTGCTAGAGAACCACTTCCACTTCCAATGGTACCAAAAGGCCAGAAAAGTACTGCTTTAAATCAAAGAAAGTAACGAGAAAGTAAATTCAATTTTGGAAAGTTATTGTAACAAGAAAGTTTTAGGATAGAACCTTTGAAAGTAACTTCAAAGTTTAAAGAAAAGCAAACAGCAAGTCACAGGAAAGTAAATAAGTAAATAAAGAATAACCTTAAAGTTCTGATGTTAAACTGCAGCTTTTAAAGCTGATGAATTACAGGAGGAAACATGTCAGTTTAATGACTCACATCAGTTATTTCCGGGTTGGGGCAATGGCCCAGCTCTGGTAAATTGCAGATGTCCTTATAAACACAGGTTTTGGTGTCTTTGCACCAAACACAGCCGTACTCGGCGTCGGCGTGTTTACACAGACTGCAGTCCCCTCTCCCCACCGAGCAGTTGTACAGCGTGACTGATGGAGGAGGAAAAGAGGCGCAGAGGTGATGCAGCTGGATTAGTACTGGAACTAAACAGGCAATAAGACAATAACTGCTTTATTCCCCCTTTTCTGTGAGTGTTTGACACACCAACCTGTCAGCGTGCTGTCAATCTTCCTCTCAGTGACTCGGTCTTTGATGTGGAACGATACGTTCACCTCCTGCTGCTTGTCGTAAGCAAACTGCACACAGAAACACACACAGTCAGGTTTCCATGTCTCCTCGGGACAAACAGAGCTCCTATAGGCGGGACTATCTGCGCTACATCACACATTTATCAGGTGTTTCTTGCTGCTGGATTTATTTTTATCCCAAACATATTTTTCTTTTTGCCCAAAACGCTGCCAGCAGTTAAAATCAGGACTGTTTGACGGGTGTCCATGATTGGACGCAACAAGGAGCTTAACCAATAAATGGAAATAAAGTTATTATTCAATATTTTTACCTGATTAATAACCGTTAACTCACAGTGAAACATTTAGGAATCTAAGATCAAGCAGAGCATAAATTCCCTCTGCAGGCCGATAAGGAAGCAATAAAACATGACAGGAGAAACACTGTTAATCTGATCAAATCCAACTTTGACTCATTACTTATTTTTTCTCTTATTACATCTTCAGGCTACAATCCTGTCTAGTCCTATTAGTCAGAGTTGGACATTCGATATTAAATGAGTTTAATTTTCCTCTTAAAACAAGGATTTACTCAATAATTATCGTTTAAAAAAGAAAATCTTTTAACCATATTTCTTCCTTTTCTTGCTTAAAGCTTTTAGCCGTCTTTAATTATATTTCTGTAGTTCTGCTCTTTTTTAATTTCTTTTAAAAGAAGCTAATGATTTTAAGGAAATAACATTAGTATTCATCACTAAAGTACCAGTTTGCATAAGAAGCTCTCAGCTTTTCCTGAAGCAAACAGCTCATATCCAGCAGAAAGTTTCAATGTTTGATCAGTTTTAAAGTAGAATAATTTTTTTATAGCAGCAGATAATCTTCCATCTTTGATCTGAGTTAACATTTTAAGGTCAACGTCTTCATAAATATTGTTTTTTTAATATAAAAGCATGTGCATTGTGGGTATTTTTACCACTCTGCTGCTATTCTTCCCAGGTTGGAGGCACATGCAACAATGGCTGACCATCTCAGAGGCCTGGGTCCTTTCTGAAGGACTCTTTCCTCCAGGGCTTCTGCAGGTTTAGGTCTGAGATGTTGGACACTGGTCCCACTGGTGACCAACTTTCAGTTTCTTGAGAGAAGCGCAGAATATTTCTATTTAAAATAGTCCTGGTATTTTAAAGAACTCACGGCATCCTGAGCTCTAAACTAAGGTCAGGCCAACAGCACCATGGATCCTCCTCCATGCTCAACAGTGCACATCAACAACTCTTAAATCCACCTGTTTATAAGCCATCCGGACTGTACATATGACACCTCAAATCTCTGTGTTACTCCCAGGTATTTCTTATTTCTAATTTTTATTTTGTTTTTATTGTGTGTGATACATGCACACTTGCACCTTAATCCTAATTTATCTTAATATACTGTATATATATTGTTTATTCTTAATGCACCTTTTTCCTCCTTGTTTGCACCTTCTTCTTTTATAACTATGCCGATATGTGACCAGTGAATTTCTCCGCTATGAGATCAATAAAGCTCATCTAATCTAATCTAATCTAATCTAATCTAATCTAATCTAATCTAATCTAATCTTCTTCTTTGTTCCTGATCCACTTGCTGCTGGAGATTTCTATCTTTTTAAATAAAGCCTTAAACCTTTAATCTGGATTAGAACCATTTCTTACCATTGAATTTTTACTCTTTCTAAAAAAAGAAAAAAAAGTTGGATGGACCTTTTAATAGAGAAATAACAACAAAGTAACTGTGAGGTTGGATAAATTTACCTCTAAGGGGTCAAATAAAATATGAAACGATAGTTTCTTGGATACTGTGAGCCTTTCGAACAGAAAGGGAGACCTTGTTCAGAGTCTGTATACGTTCTCAGGTTTTTAAACTCGACCGAACACACAAACAAAACACTGTCCTCCTCCTGTTTGCAGCGAGATGGTAAATTACATCGCTGAGAAGGTCAAACCAAACGGCCACAATTGTGGTCATAAATCAGAGGATGTTTTCTTCTGGAGGACAAAAAAAATGGATAAAGAGTAAAAATGGAGGAAATAGATGAGAAAATATTAGATGACCTGCAGCCTTTAACTGCTTCATGCAAAAACCAAACAAACCCAACAGGGGGCGCTCTCACCCACCCCTGAATTGCATTTAAGAGTTTTAAAAAAATGATCAATCATGGTAATGAGAGTTTTAAAATAACTAAATAAATGTTGCAATCATGTTGAGTAACTTTGAAATCAACAGCCCATCAGTAATCAGTCGCTGGCTGATTTTAGGGGCTCCAAACATCATCAGAGGAGCAATGGAGACCCGAGCGCTGCTGCTGATGTTTCAATTAAATAATCAGAGTGGTTCTGTTTGCCCACAACACTGATTACCGTGTTCTAACTCTTCCAAACACTTTCACTTCTGCCCTTTGGACTCATTGGAACACTTTAAGAAAACTGCTTCTTGAGCCTGGAAACGATTTGAACCAGAAAGGTTCTCCTTTATTCAAGCCGTGGGTCGAACCCTCGTCCCCGTGCTCACCTGATAACCGTTGAATTTGAATTTTGAGCCTTCTTCCCGCGTGACCTCCTGCTCAGTATTCTTCATCAGCTCTGTGCCGATGGAGAAGCTCATTCCCTGCAGACAAAGAGGAAAAGTTTAGACCAATGGAAGCAAAAAAAAAAACCAGCTGATGATGGCGCAACATTTCTTCTCATTTCTGGGAAATAAATAAAGGGTTACTAAATGGCTGAAGCTCGTCTATTTTTCATATACAGAAAAGGAAAAAGATTTTAAAACATACAGTTTTATTAGATATCTTATTGGTTATTTAGTTCTGAAAGGAAAGGTTTCTTTGTAAAGCAATTTAGTGCAAAGCTAATTCAATGTGCTTTTCATGAACTAAGAGGGAAAAAAAAGCAAGTAAAGATAAAAACCTAACCTTAAACTAATGATGCCAGGTAAGGACTTTTAAGAACTAAGGCTTTCAGCTCTTTTCCAGCTACTGGGAGTTTGTTCCAGAGTTATGGATTGAGTCGCTGATCTATTCAGTGATTTCTAGACTAACAGAAGGAATTTAAAGTCTATTCTCTGAGCTACAGGGAGCCAGAGGAAGGACTGCAGAACTGGGCTGCTGTGCTCTACTTTCTTAGCTCTAGGAGGACACGAGCAGCAGCGTTCTGGATCAGCTGCAGCCGTCTGATGGACTATTTAGACAAAGCTATGAAGACACTGCTGCAGTGATGGATTCTACTAAAGATAAATGCATGAAGGAGCTTTTCTAGATCCTGCTGGACATCAGTCCTTTAATCCTGGAGATGTTCTTCTGCTGATCAAAGATTGACTTAGTAACTGCCTTTATGAGCCTCTGAAGGGAGCTAACACTGGATCTCTGCTCCTTTAGCCTGAAGATTATTACCTCAGTTTGATTTTAATCGGTTGGAGAAAATGATGGTTCATCCACATATTGATCTGTTCTAAGGATCTAACCAACGCTCTGATGGGTTCATAGTCACCTGCTGACATTGGGATGTAAAGCTGTGTGACGTCTGCATGGTTATGCTAACTGATCTGGTTGTTTGTTATAATCTGAGCTAAGGGGAGCATGTAGATGTTGAATAAAAGGGGCCCCAGAATGGAGCCTTGAGGAACCCCACATCTGATTTTTCTGGTCTCCTAGAGGTCCCGGTCCTTCAGGTAGGATTTAAACCCGTCCAGTCCTGTACCGGTTTTCCAGACGCTCTGATAAAGAGCTGAAAGGTGCTGAAAGGTGCTGAAAGGAATCTGCAGTCACCTCGTAGTTTTCCAAGTTCCTTCCCTGGAAGCTGATGGGCATCTCATGGCCGACAGGGATCAGCAGCGGCTCAGGAAACCCGAACTGAGGACAATTTTCCCGCTTCATGAGAGGAGGAAGAAATAAGAGGTCAGGAATTAAGACGCACAACGACATCTTTGGATTATAGTTTCTACTAAAAGAAAAAAAAAGCACCTGTTGAGGTTTCACTATACGATTATCATTCATATTTTCATCCTCATCAGTGCAGCTGTGATCCTGAGGGCTCCACTGACACTTCCACTGACTGGTCACACAGGAGATACACCTGAAACACAGCAGCCTGTTTAACACCGGCCGTACATCCTGCTCCGTCCTGCATTTTGAGTCTGACAGAGATCCGGCTCACGGTGTGTTCGGGTTCTTCCAGATGGTAGCGGCGCAGTTGTAGAAGTGATATTCCCCAGACGTCACCTCGATGTTGTTTACCAGAATCTTTACTGGAACGGAGACAAAGTCTGCAAACAAACGGAGTGAGGATCATTATGGTCACCATGATGGATGAGCAGACTAATGCTTCTCTATAAGGGACCAGTCTGATTCCTCTTGATAAATGGAACATCATATTATCCTTTATCTTTGTCTGAATCTACAAAAAAAAAAAAAAAAAAACAAGCAGAAAAAGTTCATTTTGAACCTCATGAGCTGCTGATGCCTACAGTTCCCAGAATGCCTGGTATCAATGGGGATAAAAGGCAACGCCCGGAGAACAGGCAGCGAGTGAACCCAGACCCACACTGACGTACCCTGCTGCTCAGGCGTGGGGGGGATGCTCTCACGGTTGGGTAGCGAGCACGCCACCAACGACTGGTTTGCCGAATCCACTACAGCGTCTGTCTGGAACGAACCGAAAACACACTCAAGCTGGTCCAGTTCCTGCAGTCTGGGGAGGGATGGGATGGTGATCCGGACCTGCAGAGAGACGAGGGCAGAGGGCAGCGTTCAGTGTCTGCAAAGATGAAACTAAACTGATATCAGAGAACTAGTTAGATCTTTTAGTTCTCAGGCTCCTCTCCTGTGGAACCAACTACCAGTTTTAGTCCGTGAGGCAGACACCCTGTCTACTTTTAAGGCCAGGCTTAAAACTTTCCTTTTTGATAAAGCTTCTAGTTAGAGTGGCTCAGGTTATCCTGAGCTATCTCTATAGTTCTGCTGCTATAGGCTTAGACTGCTGGAGGACATAGGGACCCCCATTTCATCATTCTGCTTCATTCTATCTCTATTCTCCCACTCTGCAGAATCTGTTAGTTCAATCTCTAACGTTCTGCTCTCTCTGCTTTTTCTCATAGTAGCTTCATCTGGTCTGTTCCTGTTTGGCTGTGACTCCATCCTGGAGAGAAATATCAGCTGTGCTGCTGCCATCAACACCTTTGTTTCTAGATGTTGGAGCTTGGCCTGTTTTCCAGTGTAGTCCTGTTTCTCTGACTGTGACTAACTGGATGTGCTCTCTTCATCCTCTGACATGGGAGCTGGCTCGGAGCTCGTCTGCCTGGCTGTGTGTTTCCTGGACGGGGCCGCCTGTGGAGCTGGTTGACAGTTGCCTTTTGTATCTATGCTTCTTTTTCTATGTCTGCTTCTGTCTCCTTGAACCCCAGTGGGCCTCAGCAGATGGCCGCTCACACTGAGCCTGGTTCTGCTGGAGGTTTCTTCCTGTTCAAAGGGAGTTTTTCCTCTCCACTGTCGCTACAAGCATGCTTAGATAGAAAACTTTGAATCAATCTGACTGGATGATCTGGTGAACTGGAAAGTGACCTGAGATGACATGATGTGAATTTGGCGCTATAGAAATAAATTGAATTGAAAGATCGGAGATTTTCTAATAAAAGCAAAAACTGTGATGTAATGAATGTTAAAGATTATATTTCTGATGATAATCCAAAGGAAGGAGCATTTGTTTGAGCTTGATAAAATGTGCCTTTGCCTGAGTGTGTGAGCAGACATGAAAGCAGCCGTGAGAGAGAGAGAAGTTCAGTAATAATTACCATTCATCTGCGCCGCTCAAACATGAGCTCCTCATTAGTCTTTGCTGACCTCAACTCTTTTAATTTAGCTGCTGAAGTTTTCATTTCAAACTTCTTGATCCTCCCTGAACTTTAGAAGCTACAGAACCGCGTCACCTGAGACTTTCTTCATTTCTAACTCCAGATAAGAATCTGCATAAAGGAAACTTTTTTAGATCCGCTTCTCTTATCAGATTAAAACTTGCTTCTGAAACAGAGGCGATACTTTCTAACAGGTTCCTCATTAAGATGCAGCAAAGTTCTTCACCTGGGCTGAAGACACCACACTCATGTTTGGATTATTAATGCAGTTAACAAGAAAAAAAATGCATCCAAAGGAACAAGTCAAAGCAAAACAATATATATTTATAATAATATTTTCACACATATTCAATCAGTGTTGCAGTTGAATTTCAACCTCCCTAGCTCTCTTTCTGCAGCTCTGCTTCCAGAGGCTTGTTTGCACCATTTAAGTGAGCTCATTTATAGGAAGCTTTGATGATCTCAGACCATCAGGAGTTTGATTTCAATCCTGAAGTTTGACAGAGCAGGAAATGTGTCCCCCTGCTTAGGATGAATAAAAAGGTTTAGATTGAATAAAACATCCTCATCTGTTTAAATAGGAATTATTGACACTCTTTAAATGCTTCATAATTAAACAAAGATGAACCTGAAACTCCTTTAATACCAACATTTTTCCAGAACCGGATCCACTTAGGCATCCTGCTGATTAACCAACCTGGTGGATTCGAGGGGCGTTTTAATAACTAATGCCCTTTACCCACTTCCCGTTGTTTGATCAAGCTGAAATTTTGCATGTGCAATTATTTATATCTCTATAGCTTAAGTAACAAATTACAGCTCTGAGTAGTTTCTGATTTACAGGTGTTTGAAATGAGTCAATCTGAAATCAGGCGTCCCCAAAGTCGGCTGTCCTGCAGGTTTTAGAGGTTTCTCTGCTCCAGAACAGCTGATTTACATTGATAGTTGATAAACAGGCTTTTGCTGAACTGCAGTCATCAGAATCAGCTGTGCTAAAGCAGGGAAACCTCTGAAACCTGCAGGACCCACTTTGCGTGCTGTTGGCTGTCGAGAGGTTGCACACCACGGGAGACTTCTGATGGTGCCCTGTCACATGACCTTGTAAAACGATTTAAAAGGTCATGTGATGGGGCACCATCATCATACATTACTTTCATTTCATCCAAATTATCATCAAAATATACACATTTTGCATTAAGATAAGAAAAACAATGTTTTCCATTTGTCAGTGTGCTCTATCCAGAGCTCCTGAGGTGGAAAAGTTTTAGTTTCACCTGGTTTAATTTCATAAAAAAAAAATTATTCTTTTAAGGAAGCTTTGGCTATTCGAATATTAATCCATAAAATAATCAACAAATTAACTGATTTGCAAAATAATCTTAACCAAATCCTGAATTCTTCTTTTAGTCTGACAAAGATTTTTCTTGTAAAGAAAGCATTCATTCTTTCCATACTGATCAGTGATTAGCGGCGATGTATTTTTAGAAAGCTCATCCTCGCTTCGAGGTCGCTTCATTTTTTCATTAACATGGATTTGATGGCATTAAAAAATTGTTTAATTATAACAAAACTAAATATCTTTCCCTTTCATCGTCTCAAACATTTCAGAAAATTTACGGATACGGAAGGGCCACTGGAAAAAAAAAAAAAAAAAAAAAAGTTAACTGATTTTTACATTTTATTTTAGTTTAACATGGGAAAAAAAGTCAGAATTCTGACTTTTTTCTCAGAATTCTGACTTTGATCTCAGAATTCCGACTTTGATCTCAGAATTCCGACTTTGATCTCAGAATTCCGACTTTGATCTCAGAATTCTGACTTTAATTTCAGAATTCTGACTTTTTTTTCCCATATTAAACTGAAATAAAATTTAAAAATCAGTTAACTTTTTTCCAGTGGCCCTAACCCTCTTCCGTAGAAAACTGCCCTCAGAGAATTGCTCATAAAAGCAGATGACATTACAGTCTCTGTTGCATTTAAAACAGCTCAAACATGAACTTCTGTTTGCTTCTGTTTTTTTATTCTCTGGCCTGATTACATTATCACACATCTGATGAGGACCACTGTGAGAGCTTCAGTAAATGCAGCAATCTGCATCAAGCAAGTATTCATGTCCTCTGATTAAATTGAGAAGCTTATAAATTTGTATTTTTATAACTAATCAAAATAATAATGTATCTTTCCTTCAATAAAACATGACATATACGGTACTTTATCAGCTGTCTAATGAATACAGAAGCCCTGCAAAGTGACCAAGCAGCTGTATGAAGTAAAGCCCGTTGGTCCGACATGTTGAAGGACACTGCGTCCTTCCTGGATCAATGTCTCATTAATTCAGGCTCAGACAGAATGATATATCCTCTGCAGGACTTTAGTTAGTAAAAACATGAGCTCCAGCATTTATATTGAAATTTATCGACTTAATAACCTATTCTCCTCAATGGCTCTTAATCTTCAGATATGAGAGGACAGCATAGCATATTACTGTGCCATATTTTTAAGGAGAAAGGTCGTTTACTACAGCATTTAAACTTTTATACCCTTAGTCCCTGTGATGATAAACTAAGTTTTAATGAGATGATTGAGAGGTCTATCATCCCCACACGCCATCTCTGGCCAAACAAAAACGACCCTTGCGCCACCAAACCCAGTGACAGCTCTGATCCCGCTCTGCCACATGTACCTCACTGCTCTGCACACAGCTGGCCACAAACACGCTGGGATTAATGGAGGCGTATGACCTGACAGAGCCAGCAAATAAAAGCAAATACAGCCTTTAACCATGGAAAGAGGAGAAAACATCAAATCAAGGCAGGGCTTACCGAGAGCAAATTAGTGTTTACATGTTGGTGAGACCTCAAGCAAAAACAAGAATACAAACCAGATTCAGGCCTTGATATGTTCTCATTGCACCTGTTAGGACCATATATGTGTCATGTGTTAAATCCAGAATAGGATTTTAAAATCCTCCTTCTCACATATAAAGCCTTAAATGGCCAAACTCCGTCTGATATTAGAGAGCTAAGCAGATCTTTTAGTTCTCAGGCTCCTCTCCTGTGGAACCAACTACCAGTTTTAGTCCGTGAGGCAGACACCCTGTCTACTTTTAAGGCTAGGCTTAAAACTTTCCTTTTTGATAAAGCTTCTAGTTAGAGTGGCTCAGGTTATCCTGAGCTATCTCTATAGTTCTGCTGCTATAGGCTTAGACTGCTGGAGGACATAGGGACCCCTTTTTCATCATTCTGCTTCATTCTATCTCTATTCTCCCACTCTGCAGAATCTGTTAGTTCAATCTCTAACGTTCTGCTCTCTCTGCTTTTTCTCATAGTAGCTTCATCTGGTCTGTTCCTGTTTGGCTGTTTGGAGTTTTTCCTCTCCACTGTCGCTACAAGCATGCTTAGAGTGAGGGATTGCTGAAGAGTCAATGAGTCGATGCAATCAACCGGTTTTCCTTAGATAGAAAACTTTGAATCAATCTGAATGTATGATCTGGTTGAATTATCTCTATAAAGTGCCTTGAGGTGACGTGTTGTGAATTGATTCTATAGAAATAAACTGAATTGAACCTCTGTTAGTGTTACTATTGTTAGTTTAGATTGATCGATTTTAGGCATGGTGCTATAAAAACTTCACTCCTAAAATACTTAGTGCCGCTTTAGACTGAAACTTATTTGAAATCAAAACCAAATTTCTATTTCCAATATAAAGAATGAAGAATACCACATGATCAGGTGTTCAGATGTCTCTGATTTCCAGGGGCAGGATATGTCAGTTTTACAGTAGCTGTGTAAACGGTGTGAGAGAGCATGCTGCTCATCACAGCTGCTGCAGTAGCTGTTTGTGCCATAAGCGTCGTTAGACCTATTTAAGGGTGGCTTCAGTCATCCTTTCTTTGGCATTAGCCACCCTATAATTATTTTGCAATTTAAAAAAAAAATTTTTTTTTTCTGAATTTATTTTTTCCTCATATTTTCCCAAAACAAATGCAGTAAAGCACCGAATAAAAGCCATAAAGAAGACAAGTTAATCTGAACAATCATAGGCGTAACTTCCTTAACCTTCCTATGTGTGTTGTTATGGACATCAGAAATGTTATATTAATCAGGCACTGGGTGCAGCGCAGCGTCCAATAGCCTATGATGGGTTAACGGGTCGGGTTGCGGGTTAAATATCAACGGGTCGGGTTCGGATTTGAATTGAAGATATCCGCGGGTGACGGGTCGGGTTCGGTAGTCATCCTAACGGGTTCGGGCGGGTGCGGGTTGGTAAAACTCGACCCATGCAGGTCTCTAAGCTACACTACATTCAGTATCGTTGCCATAGAAACAGACAACAGCGCCAATATATCAGAATTATACTAAAACACACGCAAATAATTTCTTTTATCTTTGCAGGGGGTCCAAAGATAAAAGATTTAAACAATTTTGGCATTGGAATTTCAGATTTAAGGGAGTTAGAAAGTTCACTTAGTAAAAGTGCAAATAATAAATCTGATTACCGATTACTTTTAAGCTGGTTGAACATACTGCGACAGACTGGTGACCTGTCCAGGGTGATCCCACCTCTCACCCAGAACGTGGCTAGAGATATGCACCAGCACCACCTGATCCCACTGAGGGATAAGGTTAAAGAAAATGGATGGTTGAACATAGTCCGCTCTCCCAGATTCTATCAAATCAGTGTTGATACCCTCAGGGGCGGATTTAGGAAATTTGGGGCCCTAGGCAAAGACAGGCAGGGGGCCCCCTGAGAAGAAAACCCATAAAACAGCTCCATTCTACAGATAGAGAAATGTTAATAGAATAGACATCCATTATTTGTTCTAGGTTTTGTCCCTCTCTTCTTGTCCCTTTTTCCTCTCTATTTATCAGCGTTCTGATGGCATTTTAGCCAAAGGATTTTTATCAAAAACATAATTAATGTGCACAAATAAGGATTAGTTGTATTAACCATACATGGAAACAGAGTTTTATGGGGCCCCCAGGAACTTGGGGCCCTAGGCAACTGCCTAGTATTGCCTAATGGTAAATCCCCCCCTGGATACCCTGCTGGTGGATGTTCTTGACAGAAAGACGGAGTTGCTTAATCATATTCTGCTTAAGGTCCCATAAGATCTTGTCCGAGTCCTGGTTTAAAAGTAAATTAATTTTAAAAAGTGACCCAAAATTGACTGTCAATAAATGTTCTACAAAATTGATATATTTATTTGATTTCTTTGATTTGTACTGTCTGTTTAGATTTATGTGATATTTTTTGCACAAAATATATAAGTGAATATTGTAACAGTTATGTTTTCAACTGTAAGAATTAAATTGATTAATGTTATTCGCATTTTTTTGGCTTTATCCTTTCCAACAAAAAAAAAAGGCGTCGCGCAGGTAGCTCCCTTTCCTTATGAGCCGTCCCCACCAACTGTCAACACAAAGTTACACCCTTGTCTTAGACAACGCCTTAGCAGGTGCACTGAAAAAATTTCGCGCGCGCTATTCGCGCAATATCTTCTAGGGGCTGAGCCACCCTTGTCTCTTAAACCAAGAGACGCCCCTGGTTTGTGCCTTTATTAAAATTACAGTCATTAGAGCCGAGCGCTGCTTGTGAAAAAGCAATAAATAAAAGAGCAGAGCCTGAGTCGCCACTGATGGGGAGCCGTCCTCTGCTTTGCTATGTGTGAACTGATTGGTTTTCTTTTCCTTGGGCTGATCCTTGTTGTCATGCTAGGTTGGTTGAGTTGTTAACAGTAACAATAAAAAAAAAAGAGTTTTGTTTCATTCAAGATGAAGTCAGAAGAGAAAATGAGCCAAACTTTTATTAAGAAAGAACAACAAAAGGAAAGACTAGAGGGGAAGAGAGAGAGAGAGAGAGGGTGAGAAAACCTAAAAAAAAGAGGCGCCTACAGTGTCAACAAGAGTTCATCTAAGCAGGTGGTTTTAAATTGAATTGCAACTTTTAGTTTGTATTTTCAGAGCAGGTTAGGAGTTAGTTGGCTGTTTTTTGAAAGAGATTTGTGAAAAATGATTCCCAGGATTAAACGTGTTTGTCTAATCTGTTTGGACACATGACAGTTACTGATAAAAAAAAAGGGATTCAGTGACAAGAGCTGTGAAAGAAACAAAAACCCACTGAACAGAAATATGAGGAGGGAAAATCCCTGGTTTAAAAGGAGCATTTAAACAATAACAAGAGTAATAATAACAATAGTGTTTTTGTGCATTTAGTTAGCTGAGGACACTTAGATATTAAAAAATAATAAGGTTCATAAGAAGATTTTATTAGGATGACTCCAGGTTCTTATCTAAAAATAAAAGTTTGAAGCATATCTGAAATAAAAACTGTATTTTAATTGTTAATTGGAAAAAAGGAGATAAATAAGATGAAAAGAGGAATCAGGTTTCAGAAGTGTAAAGCAAATAGGAGAAGAAGAGATGAAGAATCTTGGAAAGAAAAAGCATAAATCAGAGGATGGATAAGAATGATGCATGATTGAATTAGTCCCTGCTTTAATAAACTACATTAATACAGCTTTATTTTTGTTATAGTCTTTGGAAATGCTCAAAAAAGTGAGGAGACACATTCCTCCTATTACCATTGATTTTTACTGTTTAAATATGAATATATGTGTAATAATAAATTAAATTGTAACTCTCCCAGCGTCTACATTTCATCTTAATAACATTTAATGGTTTATTATCTCTAAGGTGGAAATATCACTGGATTTAATCTTAGGAATCTGGTTGACTCGCCATATCAAAACGTCTAAAATATAAACATGTCCAAAAAACAAACTAACAATAAAATATAGCTCTTTACAACAGGTTAGCAACTAGGCACCTAATCATATTTGAAAAATAAAATAAAAACTAAAATATTTATCAGCTTGACCAATAATTCACAATTGATCTTGGAAAATTCCAACTGAAGCATGGAGCCCAATGTCATAATGTTAACTTTATGCTAAAATCAACCCATAAGATGCATTTATAAGCTAAAATTCGAAGAGTGAGATAATAATAATATCCCAACATTACCCTTGGCATAAAAGAATACAAATTTGAAGTATGATTAAAAATGATTAATAGTTCTACATGTAAAGTAAAAGCTTAACAAATAAAGTTTCTTATGTTTAAATACGGCTAAAAGTATGTAATCAAGCTTTTAAAATTAGCTTTGGCAGCTACCTGGCCAACACATTTGCTGATTTAAATCCACAAGGGAAAATTATAATCTAAACCACTATCATTTTTCTATCTTAGACTATCTTAGAATTGAGAGATGAACAGACATTGTACATAAGAGGTAGGAACACCAGATGGGAGTTCATGTTGATTTTCATGTGTACAGATTTCTATGCGGGACTGACTCAAGGTTTCGGATTGGAGATTAAATAGGAAACTTGAATGGGCATCCGTGCGTGTAATTAAAGGGAGAAAAATTAGTAATAACTTTCACTTTAAAAAAAAAATACGATTCAAAGAGGGGTTTAAATTAAACACCTTCTTTCAGAAATCAGTTTGTAAACTTAGCCAATACTTTTTACCTGGAGGAGTCACTGCTTGTTCATAACTCACTGGAATTATGAATACCTGGGCGTGAAAACAATTTCCGAGAAAAGATATATGCATCAGCCTTAAACATTTCAAGCAAACTGTTTGGTACAAAAGAAAAAAAAAGAAACATCTGGCAGATGAATTTAAATTAAAGTTGGAGTCTGCGTCACATTCAGGTTGGACCAGCCTAACTTTGCTTTAGGGGATTCCAGCCTACAGAGACGGAATGAGCGAAGCGTTCATGTTCGTTCTCATCCTTTACTGGAATTTTCACATACCTGCTCTTGCTTCTTGCTGCTGAGGTTTGGTGGGTCAAAGGCTTTGATCCTAACGCACTGCTGATTGGGAGACCACAGCCATGTGTTGTCCTCGTCTGACCTGCTGCAGTCATTCTTAGTGCTACACCTGTCAACAATAAAAAACATTTCATTACAAGGTTATGACAGGGTCAGTCCTGTGCATCTTTAGCATCTTTTAAACTTAATTCAATTTGACTAAAACATCTGAGGTTTCAGGAAATCCTTACTTTCCATCCAAGACACACCAGCCACAGTATGGATCCTTCATGGACACACAGGAGTGGCAGTCTTTCTTCAGCTGGCAGCTCTGGACTGGAACTTTGGTGATCTGCACACAAAGGAAGGCTTTTATTTTGAAAAGTGTTATTATTGTTCATTAAATCCAATATTAAGCCAGACAAACTTTTGAGTGATGAAATGAGACGGCCAATTAATCATTGGTAAAACGTAGTTAGAAAACAGACGAAGAAAACAAATCTAAAGACAACATTTTTGTGTATTTCTTTTCAAATCTCAGCTTCCTCTGCATAGATTGATTGGACTGAGGCTAAAGTTTGCAGCATGTTGCCTTGTAGCAAAAAGGCGCAGGGTTTGAATCAGGCCTGGGATGCACCAGCTGGGTCACCACCAGCTTTGAACATCTCCAGACTGAAACATACACTCTTCACTATAAATGAATTCCAGCGCCATAAGATTAGATCTGTTATTGTCAATTTTAAAGGCCATTTATAGAGAGGAAAACACTGTGATCTAAACCAGGGGTTTTCAAAGTATGAAAGGGTGAGCCCCCCTCCAGGGAGCACTGTGCCTGCTGCACCCCCCCCATCTCATCTTTTATTAAAACACTATCTGAATGAATGAATGAAAGTATTTCCTCCCATTTTAATTATTTTATCAGGCCTTTGTATGGCAAATACGCCCTTTTTTCATTTTTCTAATGATAAGAACAGCCCCAAACTCACTTTTCAATTGTTTTCTCAAACAAACGTTACATCTGAGGTTCTGAGTTTAATGTTTGAGAGGCCAACAGTGTTTTCACATCTTAACAACAACATTTTGATCAGATCTTCATTGAGAGCTGTGGAAATTCAGTCCCTACTGACAGCCAAAAGTGTGCAAGTGAAACGTCACTCATCCTCTGTTTGAAGTCCATGTCACAGCTCAGCTCAGCCAGAACCTCTTCCTCTCCTGCTGAAAGTCCATCTTTGAGCGTCACGGGGAAGGAAAATGGGTTTCTCACCCACTGGTTTGCCATTGTCTCCTCCCCAAAATACTCTCCAAACTGCTCGCGCATCCCCTCCAAATGTGCGCAGACAGCCTGCTGTAAAAACTCCACCTTCAGCCCCGCTCTGGACAAAACATCCTCTAAGGTGGGAAACATTTCCACTGATCCCTGCTTCAAAGTGTGAGGCGCGCCTCCCCTCACACTTTGAAAGCCGCCGATCTAAACAATCGATGGTTTCTGTTTAGAGTGGCTCTTCTGTTGAAATGCTGTCCCCTCAATGCTAATGTAAACCCTGGTTGGATAAGGATTCAAAACTGGATATGAAGATGAAATCTGACGCACAGTTTCAGAGTTAAAACTGATAAAATAATTGCCGTCTGTGGTTCTACAGTAGGCTATGGTGTAATTGAGCAATATATGAAAAATAAAAGAACTATGAACTAGTTCATTTTTGGAACTGTGAACTTAGTTCAAAGTTTTGAATTATGAACTATGAACTGAACTAGTTCATTTTAAAATGTGTGAACTGAACTTTGAACTAGTTCACGTAGAAAGAGAACTTTCCCAACACTGCTTATAGGTATGCTGATCTGACAGAACATCGGCAGCACATACGTGCTACACGCTCTCCCTGAAGGCCTCCATTAAACCGTCCGTAATAAACTGTGAAGGTCTGCAGCGAAGGGTCCTGGCAGTGCTGGTCTCTAATTAAACTTTACTTCATGTTAGTCTATCATTCAAAATCCTCATTTTAATACAAATGCATATTTTTTTAACGATCTTTCATTTTTCATACATGTTTCAGTGTTTCATTTATAAAATCCTTCCCAATCCAACATTTCTCTTTACTTTACTGCAACTTTAAGTCGTTCTCTTGAGTTTTTTTTCCTAATGTTGAACATCTTCCAACTGGTTCTCCTCTCTGACAGACTGATCTCCGTCTAATAAATTTAAATGAGCAGATGGAACAAGCTGGAGCATCGTCGCTCGACTTGATCAAAGCAAATTGCTCTCTTGAAGTGCTTTGTAATTAATTCATTTCTAAAATCAATAACATCTATTTCACCTCAGCGCGGCTGCTGAGAGGGATGGCGACGGAAAGATGAAAGGACAAAGCAAAGAAAGACGGATGACGGAGAGAAAAAGGAGAGCTGGAAAACGAGCGGGGCCACCGAGAAACACAGAGTGAATAAATCAATGAGCGACTTGTGTGCGGTAATGTAGACGGATGTGTTGGTGCTTGTCGACAGAATGAATAAATGATCAAATAAGGCAGAGAGAATAAATGAAGGGCTCATTAAGTCAGCAGGCTGATGGATGAAAGAGGAAGACGGGAGCAAGCGGGCGACGACGCTTCGACCTTCTGAGTGGTGTACGGCGGCGCTGAGGCGTTAGGAGGATGGAAGAGGAGAGACATGGATCCAGTTTAATGAATAATCAATCCGGCAGGAGCGTGAGAGGGACTGACCTTTCTCTCCGAGGTGATGTACAGGTGTTGGAGGCTGGAATCCAACAGAAGGTTCTTGTTGACCTTGCCTCCGGTGACTTCGCTCGACATCCGCTCGTACATTTCGGGATGAGCCGACAAATGCACCTTCAGCAACTGCAGAGAAAAAAACCCAAAACTTATCCTGCTTCCATCCACCTGAACTCCACAAACTCTCATCCTAAGCGTCAGAGATGTCAAAAGTACTCACTTTCCGTACTTGAGTAAAAGTACAGATACTTGTGTTAAAAAATACTCTGGTAAAAGTGGAAGTACTGATTAAACTTCTTTACTCAAGTAAAAGTAACAAAGTACAGGCTTGTAAATTTACTTAAAGTATAAAAGTAAAAGTAGAAACCACTTTTTTCATGCCGTTGCCTACATTTTAAATGGATGTCTGCCAATAGGACTAGATCTCCGTTGTGTTCATTTTCAATCATCTCGTCGTCCATGCTACTATGCTAACGCCACCGCCACCAAGCTGCAATGATTTGCCGCCAATGAATACCGCCGAATCTGTCGATTCATCTTGTAGTGGTGCGTCAAATGCAACGTAGATTCCCATCCAATTAGATTGAATTTGGTATTGATGACGTGAAAAATAATAACGGTAACTCCATTGAAATGATTCAAAACTAAAGTAACGAGCCAATTTTTTAAAATGTAAGGAGTAGAAAGTACAGATATTTGTGTAGAAATGTAAGGAGTAGAAGTAAAAAGTCGCCATAAAAATAAAAGTAAAGTAAAGTAAAAATATCAGAAAAATCTACTTGAGTACAGTAACGAAGTATTTGTACTTTGTTACTTCCCATCTCTGCTAAGCATACAGTTGCAGTTAGTGGAGTTCTTCCTCTATCTGTCCCGGTGTTGTGTCAGATGAGCATACACAGTCAGGCCAGCATACCCATGGTCAATACTAGTGGTGCACCGATACCGATACCAGCATCGGGCGGGGCCCAATCCAGCACTGGTATCGGTATCAGCGAGTACCAACAAATAGGACACTGATACCATTTAGAGAGCCAAAAGTTTCTTCAACTATTGTCACCCATTCCAGGGAGGCAATAAAAACTTTGAATTAGTCTTTTTCCTGCTTCACAAAGGTAGGCAGCAGCTTGACGAAGCCATGATGGAAATTATTTTACATCCAAAAATTCTGCAGTTCTTCATATATAAACACACATATCAATTTCAAACAGATGGTATCGGCCAATACTGAACAGCCAGGTATCGGTATCGGGGTCAAAAAATGGCATCGGTGCAACACTAGTCAATACCCGTTTATCCCTTTAGTTTATCCCTTTAATTAAGTACGAAAAATACACTTGAAACTACCTCAACGGACGTGTATTCCTTTAATCGTGTACAAAAAAAAACAATTTAAATACTTAATTTTTAGTGTTTTTTTTAAGCGTATGGCGATCTGACCTTAAATTGTTATTTTTGTACATGGCTTAAGGGACACACACCCGTTGAGGTCGTTTAAAGTCTACTTTTCATACAATAGTAAAGGGATAAACACAAATCTAGGTATGGTAGTCTGACTCTGACGGGGTATGCTCATCTAGCAGAACACCGGCTTAAGTTTGGCTTAAGAATTCGGTTCGCTCCACTGGAGTTTGTTTTAACAAACAAAATGTTTTTAAACTGATCTAAAGAATCAAAGTGTTTTTTCTCTATTTTAAATTTAAAGTTAAGCACCATTAAACATAAGCATTTGAGGTTCTATCCTGTGTAGCTACCAGATCTGTGACGCCAGTGACGTTACGCCACATGATTGGCTGAACGTTGTCACATGATATAAACCATTATGGTCGCCCAGACAACGATAATAACATAATGCAGCGTCAGTGTGCCCAGTCGGGAGCATCTGTAGCGTTAGCATGTCTAATGACCAATGAAGTTTTACTTGATGGATAAAAAAACTGGAAAAATCTGTTTATGGTGAACAAAGTTACTGTTCGACCGTGATATGAAGGGGGGGAGCTGGGTAGCGCTGTGGCTAGCTGTGCTCAGTAGCTAACAGGTTAGCCTCTTTTAGCTCGCTCAGTTAGCCATATTAAGCTACACTACTTTTAACTTTGTGTCAACAGCAACCGTTCGTTTTCTACCAGTAAAAAAAAGTTTCTACGAAAGCCGTTTTTGAGATGTTTCATTTCTCCTTCCTGTCCTCAGATCTTAATAAAAAGAATAAAAATTAGCTGAGATTTGTTTTGTCATCTTTTGAAATGGCAGAGCTCAATCTGCCTTAGAAGGCAGCACTTTCATTTCAAGACTTAGAATGATTGTTTTCTTCTTAATCACATCACCAATTAAATTTAAAATAATAGCAAACATAGGGAATAATATGTTGAGACTCCAAGAGATTTGATCCTTAAGAAACTGGTGCAACACAGTTTGTCCGAGTAGAGTTGCCTTATGATGACATCATAATCTCCCCAAGCAGATCTGGTACCTGCAGCAGACCTACAGGTGTCATTGAGCTGATGGCAGCAATAAAACAGCCCTGAGTTCGTTTTAAGCTTCTGACTTCATGTTCTGGGTTTTTCCATCCGTTTCTAGACATTTCTAACCAAAAAACATAAACTAAAGAAAAAAATCTAAATATATGTATAAAATAATTAGCTTTAAGGGAGACTAATCTATGAGTGACAAATAGGAAACATTAGCAAAGCAGAAACCTAAGAGAGCAGGAACATCGCTGATGTAGTTTAATTGCTATAAAATCATTTTATGTTTAGGGAAGGTTTGTTTTATTTTGGATACTTTAAAGTAAACCAATCGTCTGTCTGCTGCAGAGTCTTTATAAGTGAATTTGATGACTGCTTTCATCATTATTTTAGACAGTTTTTCTTTACCTTCTAATCCTAAATGAGTCACTTAATAAGCTACATTGACCCAGTTAGGCTTCCTTACATGTTTGATCTTTAAATCATGAAACAATAAAACGTTTCAGTTCCAAAAGTTTTCTTTTTATTCTCTTTTGCCAGATTTCAGTCAAACTTTCAGGATCTAAATTTGGTCAAACTGGGACTGGATTCTCTGACACCCAGTTAACTCTGTGTTCTCATAGAGCTTCTGAGGTGCAAATCTATTTGCAAATATCCACATTAAAAAAGACCTTGATTAAGATATGAAAAAACTAAAATTGAAGTATAAAATAAAAATATTTTTAAATATATCAATATATATTTTCAGATGTGCCAGATAAATATTTAATCTTTAATGTGGAGTAAAGCCCTTTCATTCGTCGGCGGATTGGTGATATTGGTGCGAAAAAATCTCTCCTGCACTCAGAGCTGAAAGCAACTTTATTTGCACACCACCTCCCTCCACAGCGCGGACGTCGCAGTCGCCTGTTATTAAGTGCGGCTGATTGACAGGTTGATAGGATTATTTAGCTACAGGGCTAGGCTAACTGCATGCAGCGAGGCTAAAGCTTTATTCTGCTTTCCCTGCCTCCTTTTTTCAAACGTCAGGATCTGACCCAGCATGGATAAAGACAGCAAGGACTGATTTAAAGCAGAACATGCAGAAATGTTGCTTTCTGTTGTTGGTATTGATGTAAATATACTGGTTTGGTAACTTAGTATACATTTGATTGGTATATGTCTATTTTGAAGTTACAGCCCCACCCGGTAAAACTCCACCAGCCTCCACTGGTTAGGAGGTTTCCCTCCATTGGGAAAAGGGAAGCTAATGATCCCACGCAGCAGAGGCAGCAAAAACGCGTGTCTTGCTTTATTTTTGACACATTACGGTCAGATGCACGTCAAGAGCATCTTTGACGCTCCTAAAGCACGTCCAATAAAGTGTGTCCAGAAGAGTCTGATGCTTCTGCTGCTCCTGTGTTCAGCTTTGCTACACCGGAAAAATCTAAATCTAGATAAGTCATTTTTTCTTAAAAAAAGTGCATTTGTTCTTGAAGTAAAAAGGTAAAAGAGACATTTTGCCAATGGAACAAGACAATTTACACTTAAAATAAGAAAACACCGTTCCAAGGTCTTATTTCAAGTGCATTTTATCTAAATATCTTATTTTAAGAGTAAAAATACTCATCCCATTGGCAAATCATCTTATTTACCGACTCAAATTAAGGGTAAATACACTTAATTTGAGAAATATTTACTTATTTCTAGATCATTTTCCAGGTATATTTGCAGTGATCAGAGGGTAAAAAGTTTTAATATGTTTAAAGTGAGAAAGTCCACCTGAAATCATAGTCTGTGCAGCGACTTTATCAAGATTACGATTAATGTCAGAGTCGCTCAGACCCCCACATAGCAGCGGTGCGCTATCAATCCCAAGCAGCAGCTGCTTCTGGCCCGCTCGCCTCTTTGCGATTTTCCGCTACTGTTTGCGGCCGCAGTAAGGCGTTTTTCACGTACGTAATTCAAACTGCAGGCATCAGAATAAAAAAAACAGAACATCTTTTGCTGGCAGATTTCGGCATTTGAAGTTAATTTAGGCGTTAAAGGTACACTATGCAACCGGTGTTGATTTTCCAGCGAGACTCCCCCCAGAGGGCGAAAGTAAAAGTGCACTGTCGTAAATATGCACAGCTGTTCTCCTGGTTTCTCCGTCAAGCCAGGCGCGGTTGCTTTGAGCTTAGCAGACAGGCGAACGCAACGAATGACTAATGCTGCGTTCACACCGCAGCTGGCGCGACAGAAGCAGCGAGTTTACATGCAAAGTCAATAGTTGACGCGCGTCAAGGCGCAGCAAAGGAGCAGCAGGCCCAGCGCGTCTGAGCAGCTGAAGCAGGGAGAGAGACACAGCGCTGATGATCAGAGGCTATGATCTCTCTCCTCTTAAACAGTTTATTGACGCCTAAATTAACTTAAAATGCAGAAATCTGCCGGCAGAATATGCAGTTTGGATTATTTAGATGAAAAACACCTACCAGCTGCCGCGGTGAACCGCGAGGACGTGACCTGGCCAGAGGCTGCTGATGAAGGGGTTCCTTCTGTCGGCGCACCGCTGGTATGTGGGGGTCTGAGCGGCTCCGACAGAAAAAATATTGAAGGCAGGATAATAATCTGAATGAACTGACGGCACTGATTACGTTTTCAGGTGTATTTTCTCACTTAAACACATATTAAAACTACTTTATTCCAAATGATCACAGCAAATATAGCTGCAAGGCAGAGAAAGGATAGTGAAGCTCTGCCCAACGCGCGTCAGACACACTTTTGCACCGCACAGCCAGAGCGTCAGAACTAACTGGTTCAAGCAGCAAAAATGAAGCAGCAGACACGATTTTGCTGCTTTTGCTGCGTGAACGTAGCATAACTGCACAAGGATCGCCACTGTGCTAGCAACGAGAATGCTTTTAACTGGGGGCGTGTAGCAGTTCTCGGCCGTAAAGCAAGACTGACTCTCACGAGACTTCTGAGCCTGTGGGTGCGGGTCGGTACTCCTGCAATTGCAAGTGCAGTATTTCCCCCACAGACCACCAGGGCGGCCGAGAATACCTTTGTTCAACCTGAAATGACTCATTTAATCATCCAAAACGTTATGGAACACATTAATTAACTGAAAAATGTTGCATAGTGTGCCTTTAATAAACTGTTTCAGAGGAGTGATCATAGCGCTCTGCATCAGCAGCGCTGCGTCTGACTCCCTGCCAGCTCCCAGATCAGCTTCTCTGATTGGTTGATGAGGCACGTCCAGCAACAAGAGTATATTTTTTCCAACTCCAGCGCATTGCTCGCCTCAGATGCTCAGAAGCTCATGAGACGCTGCTCCTGCTCAAAACACACTGCGGGACCTTTTGCTGAGCCTTGATGCGCATCAACCATGTTTACATTGCATGTAAACTAGTTGCTTTAGTTGCGATCTGAACGTAGCATGACATCTCTGTTAACCCTACGCATTCTGGACACAAACTGACCCTACAGAGAGTTATTTACAGCACAGACTGTTTTTGGATCCAGGCTGCATTTCTAATAAAACACAGAATAGATCCAATCCATACTCATCTGTACTATTTCAGTCAAATCTTCCTTACTTTTGCGTGGAAAATAACCAATTTTCTTCCTCTTCTTGCTCTAATAGGTGTTTATAGGTAAATGAATTTAAGAAAATCAGAAAACAAATCCGTTGTTAGTGACAGCCTTAGTCTAAATGAGCTGAAATCTGATTAGCCTCCTATTCATTAGTAATTTCCTGGTTTTGTTTAAAACTGACCATGTTCACATGTTGGGGTGCAGCCTTGCAGTAAATGAAGGTTTTCTCAGCAGCTGAAAAGCCTTTAATGAAACAGAGGCCTCAGGTGATGAGGGCTGTGCTGCTCCTCAGCATGATAAGCAGGGATAATTAGACTCCTTCTTTTCATTGTTAAAAGCAGAGCCTATTTCTAATAAATACAGTGTCTAAACCAGAGTTCTGCAAACTGCAAGTCCCTCTTTGAGCCTTCAAAAAAAAAAAAAAAAAGGACCAGATACTGTTTGAAAAAGAGATATGATAGTAAATTTAGGGTAAAGAAACCTTTTCTGTTTTTTTCCCAGCTAATAATTGCATCGAATTCACAAAACAGAACGACACTAAAAGCACATATAATATAATTTTAGCTCTAAATTATTGATCATAAGGTTCAAAACTATGAACATCCCATAAAGGGCTATAATATAATCCTCTCCAAGCAAATGTTTAGTTTTTTTCCCTTCATTTCGAGGATTTTAAAGCAAAATAAAATGGTGATTCTTTAAATTGACAACTTTCCTCCTTTTTTTCTTTTAAACGAGAATTCCGGTCAGATTAAGAATCCAAACTTCTGAAAGTTCTTTAAATCTGAAATGATTCCATCCTGTTCAATAAATGATCAGTGTTTTTAATTCAGAGTAATTTTCATGTGAATGTGCTTTACTGGAGGCATCCATGTTTGTCAAAGAACACTACTGCCACCTACTGGTTAGTGACGTCACGGTGCGGTATCGGCTGTTGATCAAGTCCCAGTGCTGTATCTGGTGTTTGTCACAACGCGCTATTATCCAAGTCATCTTGAAAACATTCTTCTTCCAAATGTTGGCTACATATTACGGGTTTTTTCTCTGGCCAGAAGTTCGATGGCAAATCCTCCCTCTTCAAGTTGGCGATCCAACGACCAACCCGTCCGTGGAGGATCAGGAATCAGAAAGGTGGAATAACTCTTTTTTTCACTTTTACCCGATGTATTCCAGCATCCAGCTGCCATGCACGTGGGCATTGTCAGTTTCACTATAGCTCTGGTGAATTTCAATGGTGAAGTCCTCTGGAAATCTTCAATAATTGTTGTTGATTGCAGATGTGTCAAGTAGTTCCCATTGATTTAGCTTGGAAAGCGGGGAGAATGTAACCTGACTCCGCCAGATGGATTTGCTCCGCATATCCATCTGGAAACCTTCCGTTGAAGTAATTTTGGGAAGGGGCGAAAATACTGGTTAGCTGATTGGCCTATGTTGGTGATAGACGGGCCAAATAAACCAATCAGATCAACGAAGCATATGACGTACTAACAGAGCGACGACGAAGAGGAGCCAATTGATAGATCAAACTCTTGCTGAAACCAGTCGGGAGAAGAGCAAAAACATCTTTTCCTCTGAGAAAAGCCTCCAGAGCAGTGTTTTGCTCTTCTTTCAGTGAAGAAATACTCTGGAATTCCCATAAAACTTGCTCGATAGCCACGCTAACGCTAGTTTCATCGGCTGAAGCCGCCATGTTCTTTAGACTGAACTGTCGCGCTTCTCGTTGCGTCACACCTCAACCCGCCTCAAAGCCAACGCTGATTGGATGTTTGTTTGGTGAACGGCTCCACATTTTCTTTAACGGAGAGTCTCCAGACTGATCTGCGAGTGAAACCTTGAAAGCTCGCGAGATCAGGATGGTCTCACCAGGCTAAGGAGAATGGCGCTAGGCTTACCGCACCGTGACGTCACATGGCAGGAGGGAGGGGTTACTGTAGTTGGGCAAAAATGGCCGCTCCCAGACTCAGTGATGGCAACGAAAATTATTGTTCTTAATTTTTTACTGATTAGCGTTAATTCATTAAATCACCGCGAATGCATTAGTTTTATGTATAAATAATGATCCATTCCTTGCTGACAGTTTTCCTTTAATCAATTATTTCATGGTGAAAAACAAGAAAAAAAGGAAAAGCTGGACATCTTTACCTCTCCGTTGGCGGTGCCCAGGAATGCCACAGCATTATCCAACTCCACGGCCACGGCCACAGCGGTCATGTGACCCTTACGGACAAAAGATGGCTCAGCTTTCAGGGCAAACTCTGACTTACTGGCCAGTGGCGAGGGCAGGTGATCAGCTCCACACTTGTGTGTTGGGCCCATAGTCCGCTGCTAAAGGATTCAGATATTCAGTTTAAAACATCAATAAATTTTTCAATCTATCATTTCATCTTCCTCTGAGGAGGTTTTCTGTACCATAGAACTGCAGGCGTCATCAGTCTTGGAAGCATAAGGCTGATAAACGGCCTTCTTGTTGTTGATGATGCCCTGGTGGTAGTAACAAGCTTCTATGATGTTAACGAGTTCTTCGTTAATTAACTTTAAAGGGTACAGGCCTACAATCAAGAACATAAACAACATTGGCATTAAAGTCAGGTGAATTTTGTCACATATATAAATCTGAATCATTTCAGGGTAAAACACAAATTTAACAACTTGGAGTGACGTCATCTTAGAGGTTAATGCATTCCACTTTTACACTTATGTGTCTTTAAATTCTCCACGGGAACTTTTACAATAGCAATGAGAAAAACATATTCTGTGCATTCGTGTTCTTCAGGAAACAAGTTAGAAGAACTCCAAACCCCGGCAGGAACCCTGACAGAATATCTGCAACGCATTATTATGCATTTCACTGAAACATGGCTGCGGAATCGTATCTTGGACAGCAGCGTTTCTCTCTGCCAGGCTTTTTACCATAAATGCAGATAGAAATTTAAAGAAGCCTTTAAGAATCAATAGAGGACCTCATCTAAAACCTCTGGAGATGATCTCACACAAAGTGAAGAACCAGAACATTGAGCATCTCTTTAGAAGAGTGTCTTCAGTTAAGAAGCTTTTCCAGATCCGGTGCAACACAGACTCCTACAGAAGATCCTTCCACCCTACAGCTATTAACATGAATAACAATTTGTTGAAAAACTGCCCATAAATTACCATAAAATTCAGTTTCACTTTCAGATTAATAAAGTATTTTTGGATTGAATTCCCTCGAATGAACAATTTAGGATTCACATGGAAAATAATAGAAAATAGTCTACTTTTTCTAGATGTTTGTTCATTTGCATAGGTGCTCTTAAATAAATAGTTATTATAGATTAAAATATATAAAGCTGATTAATAGCTGGTAAACTGGTACATTAATTTTTTAGGTTTGTGAGACAATATTGGAGAATGCAAAACAGATTTATCTTCACAGCATCAGAAGGCAAATATTTATGTGCAAAAAGTAAACCTGGAAATGAAATTATGTTTTGTTTTTATAAAGTGTTTTTATAATGTTTTTTGTTGTTGGCATTCATATAAATATACTGGTGTGATAACTTAGTATACGTTTGATTAGTTTTTTGGTATAAGTCTATTTTCAATTTATAGACACCCGCCGCCACTGGCCACTACCCTTGGACGGATCAAACTTCCTTTGTCTCTTCAAAAATAAAAATAAAAAAGCTCAGTGTCTGGAATAAATCTCTATGAAGAGCAATAGTTTCTGTTTGCAAAAATGTGTTTTTTCATTAAACATGATGAGATTTCTTCACACTTTCCATTTGTTTTTCTCTGAGCAAATATCAGTCTTTGTTTTAAGGCTCCTTTATCAGATTAAATCTGCAAAGCGACAAAAATAGCCTTCAGGAATATTTTTTTTAAGCCAAAGGAATGATTTAAAACACCAACTGTGGCAGGAGAAGATTTCCTCCATCTGTTCTGAATAATCTAATCTATTTCAGTGATGTAACTCAAACAGGAAAAGGCGTCATACACAAAGCGGAGGAGTCGTCATCAGAGGTGAAGGTGGCGAACAGAACTTTGTCCGAAGCTGAAATGGTTCCATAACGCTGCGCCAGAACTTTCCCAGCTGGTCCAACGAAAGCAGCCTGGAAGATCAGAGACGACAGATCGCAGCTCGCTCACGTTAATCAGTTGTTGAGCCGACGTCTAAACATTTACGCCGTCTGCTTCTCCTCACCTGAACTTTGTTGTAGTTCTTGGTTTCGCTGCTGCAGTTCAGCTGCAGCTCGGTGTATGAGTAGTAGTGGTGATCGTCCTCACACATCCTGGAGATGAAGGTGTAGTTCTTGTTGTCCTGCAAGGAAATGGTCCTGGAGAACAGGAAGTAGACGAAGCCGCTGTCGTTAAAGGCGAAGCGAAAGTCGTGCTGGTAGCGCTGGATGAAGGAATTGGCCTGGACAGACGAGGCTTCGATGATGCTGTCGAACTCCACCCACTCATTCTCTGGTACTGACTCCAGGAGGCGGGTGGAGATCAGCTTGGTGCTGTCATGGCCACCGTACCCTTTACCAACCTAACACAGAGAGCAGGAGAAGGAGTCTTTGACAGAGATCTCAAATCTATATTGTCTTAAAATATCCTGATTTAGGTTTACAGCAATGAGCGGAAATCCCTGCTTGATATATATTAAAATAATTTATAGGAATAGATTTGGGATTAATTTCAATGCAGTGGCAAGGAGACGGAAGTGAAGGAGGAAGAAGTAAAGAGGAGAGAGTGCTTAAATCTACCGTAGAAGTTTGTTTCTACACCTACAGAAAGCAGCTCATATATAAAGATGTTGGTCCAGGATGTTTTTTCTTCTCACCAAGAAAACTGGGAGCCTTTTATTTTCAGTTTTGAAGTATGACATCACTCCTACGACAGAGACGACCTCCTCAGCGCTCGCCACGTACGACTTCTCCCCGTTGCTGTCGCTGTAGTAAATACGCTGCTCCACTCTGCTCAGGTTCCTCAGTGAGCAGATGCCTCTGAAGATGCTGCCGCAGACCACCAGCTGGTTTTTGTCCGGATGGATCAGCAGCAGTTTGTTGTAATTGTTCGTTTCCTTTGCCTCGGTGCAGGACTCGGTAATGGGCGGCGTGCACGACTTGCTGTCCCGCTGTGGGCCCGTCTCTGTGCGGGATTCCAGCTCCAGGTCGGAGCTGAGCTGGTAGAGGCGGTTGACTGCGCCCACGTATAGGCGGCCTGTGGCTGGGTTTGCCACCACGTTGTTGATCAGCGTTTCCGATGGAAACACTCTGTTGTCGCACTGACATGAACTGAAGTACACTGTAACCATGGTAACCACTGCGAAGTGCCACCTCCACCTATGCTCCATGGTATCTGTAAGACAGACACAAAAAAAACAGGGTTTTAAAAGAATAGTTTTGTTTTGGAGACACCTAGAGGTGAAGTTTTAGAATGCAACAAACTAAACAATAAATGGCAATCTCTATAGATTGGAACATTTTGAGTTAGGTCTAACGTCCAGGTTCCCCCTAGTGGTCAACATTCATACATCGTCTTAGCAGGGCCCGTTAACCCTTTAGAGGGCACTCAGTGAAATTCATTGAAAATCTACATTTCAAGCCATAAGTGTTATTAGAAACCAGGACAAGACCTTATTACTTTTGTAAGATTAAAAAAATATGGATATTTTGATGGCAGAATTATTATTATTATTATTTTTTTTTTTTTTACAGTGTTCTGTCTGGCAATGTGGCAATAAGAATAATTGTCTTGATGCCAAAAAGAGCCCAACAGATTTTACTTTAACAAGTGGAGCAGTACGGCTATCGCCATATAGCTCCATTTGTTTCATGCAGGGAGTTTTACAGTTTATATGGACACTGCAATGTAAATAGAGCAGAAAAACAGAAGAAGAAAAGGAAAAAAGAGAAAAGATGAAAGAAAGAAGAGATAGAAAGGAGACAAAACATTTTCAGTCTGCTTCATCACCTGGAACGAACAGCACAACCGAAAGACATGGTACGAGATGGCAAAATTATTAATGTCAATTTAATAACCAGAAACGCCAACTTGCCCGAATATATAAAAGGAAAATTTCTATATATGAGATTCATGAAAAACACTGAAAGTGAAAGAAACATTTTTTTTGGTCCTACATAACCTTAGAGGCATTAATGCCATTACATTACATTTTTTAGTTTATAAACCTAAATATCAGAATCAGAAATACTTTAATAATCCCAGAGGGAAATAGCTTTTGTTACATGCTCCAGTTACAGTTTTATATATACACACACACATCCACCTACACAATATAATAAAGATAAAAACTAGAATAAAAAGAGATAAAATATATACACATATAGCTCTTCTGTATATATGTATGTATATCTATGCATATGTAAAATCTAAATCCAAGTAAAGTAAATATAATGGTTAACTACGCTTATTAACTTTTTAACTTTACCTTTTTTTTCCCAACTTAATTCACAGTAGGTAATATATGGGGGGGGGGCTCCATTTGCAAGGGTATACAGGTGATAAAAAACGCTAGTGATAAAAAGCTAAACCCTATAAAGGGTTGAAGTTCAACCTAATAAATAAATATCATAATTCATAACTTTTTCTCTCTGGATTAGCTTCAAAAAATCTTTTTAATCCACAAGTTATACTAACGTAAATTTCTAATATAATTTACCTATTTACTGAAGTTCTCCCTTCATTTCATAAAAGGTTTATTAGTGTGACAAAGTAAACAATTTTGCAGAGTTAGAGTCAAAACTGAGAAAAAGTGCTTTAAAAATGTGCTTTTCTAGTGAAAATAATAATTTAAATGATCTGAAATGAACTGAAACAGTATAAATGGTTATTATAATATTATTTCAGATGGACATTATACTGTACATTAAGATAGTGGATAAACGATGTGAAAACATTCCCCTTACCAAACTTTTCTGGAGATAATCTCATAAGTTTAAAATTGAAGTAGTTTTAGGTTTATATGTAGCTTTAACGTCCAAAAAAACGCTGAGAGCAAAAAGAAAGCAGAGTTAATAATCAGGAGTTTCCCATTAAACCAAGAACATCCTTAACTGGAGGAAGAGTGGAGGTGGAGGTCGCTGAACCAGATTAGATTAGAAAAGACTAAATAAGAGAGAGTGTGTCTGAAAACAAGAGAGTGAGTGGAGCAATTAGCCGGCTGACAGAGTGAGCTTCTCCTTCCATTAGTCCGACTGGGAGTGTTTAATTATAGCTGTGGCCTGTGGCTGCAAAACAGGGCTTCACGTCATGTTGGCTGTAAAAACATCAACATAAAACGGCGCTGTGCTCTAATTCAAAGCCTTGTCCAGGAAAACCTCCAGTTATTTACTTTCACTTTCAAATCTGGATCATAAAGCTGCCTCTCATTATCCCCCGCCTTCGCTCCGATGGATCCCGGCCCTTAAAGTCATGTTTGGTTAATTTATTCCAGTCCTTGTGGTCGGGTTTTTTTCCTCGTTTTTACAGCAGGCGTCAGATAATTCTGACGGGGGGGTCAACTGGACGGCGCGTCCACTGTCGTTCTGCTGGCTGCATATTGAATTCACCTCAGCGCCGCGGGATTTATTACTGTGACAAGACTTATCTGCCTGCCCACCTGCTCTCCTAAATTACCCGTCAATGGATATCAAGAGTGGAGTGTTTTAGTGGCTGCAATGCAGACTTTGAAGCTTTTCACAAGATATATGCAGAGACCTTTTCTTCTTTCTTTTAAGCAGCAATGCAATGAATAATCTGGAAATAAAATGAACAGCTACAGCTGTTTGTTTGGCCGTCTTTGCGTATGAACTTCAGTGTTTGATAAGATGTCGGCATTTCCAGCTTTAATAGCTTCAGATGATCCGTTTGGCAGGATTTTTAATGTTATTTTTATTTAAGAGCACATTTAGGAGGTCAGACACTGATGTTGGAGGAGAAAGCTTGACTCATCGTCTCAGCTCCAATTCATTCCAGAGGTAATCCCACAGATTGAGGTAAAATGGAAAAAGTTCCTTTGGGAACCAAAAGTTCACCTCCAGTTCTGCGCCCACAATTGATCTTGGTGTATTTTTCATAAGTGGATGATGGACAAATAGATCAGTGCTTCATCTACATGATTAAAGGGATTTCTACAGTCTGTAGAGCTGAAATGTGACGCTCCTATATAGTGGTCCTTATAAAGTGTGAATCCATTTGCTGCAGTCATTAGATCTGGATTAGAGTCGTGAGAATCAGAGGATAAATAAGGTGTATATAAGGTAATTCAGCTCTGACTATGAGATCAGCTGAAGAGCTCTGCTTCCTGCTGTGGTGGTTCTTCATTTAAAGGTTCTCTGAGCTCGCTTCTCATTTTGCTCCAAAAACGATCAGAAAACAGAAAAATCCATAAAATCTGGCAGCTGTGCAAGAAGCAGAGCAGCTTCCTGGTTAAACAGGAAACGTTACGTACTGTTTAATAAATGAAGAGTAATTTTCATGTGAATGTGCTTTACTGGAGGCATCCATGTTTGTCAAAGAACACTACTGCCACCTACTGGTTAGTGACATTGTCACGGTGCGGTATCGGCTATTGATCAAGTCCCAGTGCTGTATCTGGTGTTTGTCACAACGCGCTATTATCCAAGTCATCTTGAAAACATTCTTCTTCCAAATGTTGGCTACATATTACGGGTTTTTTCTCTGGCCAGAAGTTCGATGGCAAATCCTCCCTCTTCAAGTTGCCGATCCAACGACCAACCCGTCCGTGGAGGATCAGGAATCAGAAAGGTCACTTTTACCCGATGTATTCCAGCATCCAGCTGCCATGCACATGGGCATTGTCAGTTTCACTATAGCTCTGGTGAATTTCAATGGTGAAGTCCTCTGGAAATCTTCAATAATTGTTGTTGATTGCAGATGTGTCTAGTAGTTCCCATTGATTTAGCTTGGAAAGCGGGGAGAATGTAACCTGACTCCGCCAGATGGATTTGTATTTTCGTATTTTCCCCCCTTCCCAAAATTAATTGAAGTAATTTTGGGAAGGGGTGAAAATACTGGTTAGCTGATTGGCCTATGTTGGTGATAGACGGGCCAAATAAACCAATCAGATCAACGAAGCATATGACGTACTAACAGAGCGACGACGAAGAGGAGCCAATTGATAGATCAAACTCTTGCCGAAACCAGTCGGGAGAAGAGCAAAAACATCTTTTCCTCTGAGAAAGGCCTCCAGAGCAGTGTTTTGCTCTTCTTTCAGTGAAGAAATACTCTGTAATTCCGATAAAACTTGCTCGATAGCCACGCTAACGCTAGTTTCATCGGCTGAAGCCGCCATGTTCTTTAGACTGAACTGTCGCGCTTCTCGTTGCGTCACACCTCAACCCGCCTCAAAGCCAACGCTGATTGGACGTTCGTTTGGTGAACGGCTCCAAATTTTCTTTAACGGAGAGTCTCCAGACTGATCTGCGAGTGAAACCTTGAAATGGCGCTAGGCTTACCGCACCGTGACGTCACTGCTGGAAGATGGCAGGAGGGAGGGGTTACTATTAGGGATGCACGATATTGGGATTTTGGCCGATATCCGATATGCCGATATTTTAAAACTCATGTAGCCGATAACCGATATCGATACCGATGTTAAAGCTGGACAAAAATAAGTAGTCATTGAAAATAGCAGTTTTGTTATCCATTTCTGACACTTTGAAAAATAATATACTCAAATATATTTTCATACGCTGATATCAAATAGATTTTTAAAAACGCGGTATCGATCTATTTTACTTTCAAAATCTGGTGAAATTTCATCGTTCTGTTACAAACTCTCGTGATATTTTGCAAATTCTTGTGAGATTTTGTTAGTAAAATAGATCGATACCGCGTCAATATATCAACATATAAAAATATGGCAACATTTGGTGAATTTTGGGGGGATTTCGTAGCATAACGATGACATATAGCAATATTTCATTAGTAAAAGAGATTGATATGGTGTTTTTAAATGGCAATATATCAGCATATGAAGATATTGGGATATTTTAACATATCAATATTTTTTCCCTCGTCTTTAGAAGTTTTTAAGTCTGTAAAAAAGAAGTTTTTGAGGAAGAAGAAGTAGTATTTTTTTTTTTTTTTTTAGACTTTAGAAACTCAGAAGCTGATCAAATATCGGGTTAAATATCGGTGGGGGGGCCGATGTCCGATATTCAGTTTTAAGGCCGATACCGATAGGGGGCCAATTATATCGTGCATCCCTAGTTACTATATTTTGGGTAAAAATGGCCGCTCCCAGACTCAGTGATCGCGACGAAAATTATTATTTTTTTTACTTATTAACACTAAATTCATTAAATCACCTCAAAATATTAGTTTTAGGTATA